AACATATCTCAATTCTCAAACAAATGTTAAAATTGGAGACTCGGTTATTCAGTTAGCTAGTGCTGTGAAGGATCTTGGTGTTTATCTTGATCCTTGTTTGTCATTTGAACCACAGGTTGATAAGCTGCGTCAGTCCTGTTACTTTCATCAGTGAAATTCGACATCTCATCACGATTGATGCCGCCAAATCTCTAGTACAGTCACTAGTTCTGTCCAGACTATTGTAACAGTTTGTTGTCTGGGATTAATCAATCAAGTCTCTACAACTTACAGAATACAGCAGCCAGAATCATGTCACGAACCAAAACATCATCTCACATAACACCTATTCTAAAATCCCTACATTGGTTCCCAATTCCAGCTCGCGTCAACTTTAAGGGTCTGTGCCTCACATACCAGTGTCAACGAACTCTTGCACCCAGCTATTTATCAAAACTACTTACAGTATATCAACCAAATCGGTCCTTGAGATTTTATTACCAGAACACTCTTGTCGTTTCACACTCAAAACTGAAACATTTTGGTGACAGGAGTTTTAGTGTAGCTGCTCCTAAATTGTAGTCTCTCTATCATCCAGAAAAATAATCCGGTCTTTTACATTATCATAAACAACTTCAAAGGGAGGTAACTCCTCTTAAAACAAGATGTTTACGCCCATGAAATTAATTTAAGAATGTTATTTCAAAAAATCCATTTGATTGCATGCCAGTTCAATATCTAACACTCTTAATTTTTTATTGTAAAATTTCTCTCTTCATTCGACATATCTATGCTTTTAAAATTAATCCTAATTTGTCGTCACGATTCATGTTTGTTTATATTAATGCAAGAATTATGGGATTTATTGTGGGAAGGGGGCGCAACTCTTACTTGACTTGGCTAAAGAGACTGGATAATCAACCACATTAAAAACCAAACTCGGAGGTTCTGGGTGACCGAGACTACTAAATTGTGGAATGGTTTACCACTGAAAATCCGAAACAGTGAAACTTTGACTACTTTCAAATCGCAGCTGAAGACTCACTTATTTCGAGAATGCTACGAGAATTAGACTTTCTATTCACTGTGCATATAAATATTGTCTCATTTCGTTTTGAGCTTCCTTTTGGATGGATTTGGCACTCTACAAATGTACATTATTATTATTATTACATTTCATGAGTCATCGTTGAGCAGCAGATCAGATCCTAATCCAGCAAATATTGCAGGCTCGGGCTGACATTGAGAGTTGATTATGGTCTTGATAAGTTAATTAGTGTCTAATTAATAATTTAGATAACATTTCAGGCCTAAAGAAAGACGTGCAATAGGCAGATTTAGCTCTTGTATAATGTATCAAACACTTTGTCACAATCAACACTTGTTTCAATTTAACTGAAAATTCACTGTTTAAAACTAAAGCCCCGATAAATTTCAAGAAATTGACCCGTTTACATGACTCTAAAATAACCGGTCTCGGAACCGTGTCAAGCACGCCAAATATGGAACTCGTCACAGAAAAGTAAATTTCAGTCGCTATGCAAATTACCCGGATGAAAACAATTATGAAGGTTGATTTAGTTTGAGCAGCCATTTTGACAGTTTGCGGGGGAAAAAGGTCAAGGTTGGTTTAGCGCATGGGCAGCGATCTGTATTGAAACCGTGCTCAGACAAGGTCTGACATTGAGGCAACTGGCATGGTTTCTATTCCATGGTTGTACGTGACAAGGAGTTGGGTCGCTAGTCCAACCTCGTGGTTTTCTCCGGGTCCTCCCGTTTTCTCCCACTGCAAAAATTGAAGCATGTGTTAGTCCCGTCTGTGATGAAAGCGGTATTTGAAATACAAAATGGGTTGTATGTGAATACCGATTGATGGAATAACATTAGCCTTGCTGATGATATGCTCTAAATATGGTGTTAAATTAAATATGCTTTCGTAGCATACTGCAGGCCAGTACTGTTTATCACATCTGTTGTGCAATGAGGGCCCGTGCGTCTTGACCTTAGATGTTCGGAATGCTCCTATAAACTGATTCTAAGTCCTTGGTTGTGTATAGTGTCGAGCTCTTTGAGATAAGACTCACGGACAGACCCATACACAATAACCCATAACATTTCTTGTTGAGGCTTTTAATATGGGGGATAAATGATAATTTCTTATCAAATTTCAGACCCAGAAATTTGGTTTCATCCATAATTGGAAGGCCATTGCCATCCAAGGACAGTTCTGGATCAGGTAGCAAATCTCGTTTCTGATAGAAATGCATGCAGTAAAACATTTTTTTAAACAATATTTCACTCAATAAAATTTCAATCATATTGTCTTGACCATGCATTATGCAAGAGCTAAATCTGCCTATTGTTTTCTACAGTATTAATTAGACATTAATTAACTGATCCAGGCCTTAATCAACTCTCGATGGCATCAGATTTCTCCGATATTAAATACATTAGAATGGTTCAGCGATACTTTGATTTAATCAAATATGGAGGACCGAGACTTAGCTTCGATCAACCAGTACGGTGGTGGCAATTATTGCACACGTTTGTCAAACCTTCAAAGGCTGATATCTTCGCTTGCAATAAGAGTAATTTGAATGCCATTTTCAAATTATTCATCATCTACTTTCGAACTATTATAGCAAGAATGGCTAGTTCTTTATCTAAATCTTGCATAATGTATCTTTAAGGATACGAAAATAGGTATCATGCTTATGAACATCGCTATTTCCTGACATGGTGGTTATTTTTAATCGGTGAAAGTGAGAGTATATTAAAAAGCAGTAGATTGAAGATTAATGCTAAATAAATACAAAGAACCAAAAACGAAAAGTGAAAGTGTATCTTTAGTCATCAAAACGGAGATGAATACTTTTTTGAAATGGCAGTTGAAAAATCCAGAAATGAGTCTGTTTTCCAGAGAATGATGGAATTATTATTGATAATAACAAAACACCAGGTAATGAACATTAAGTTTAACACCCTAAGTTCAGAGATGCAAAATAAGTCAAATTGGGGTTTCATAGAGATCAAGTAATCAAGTGACAAGAGACCACCCTTTCAACCGATGAGTTAACTCAATGAACCTTCAGTTTATCAAAAGCAGCATGATTTAGATTTGCAGGGGCATTATCGATCCCATTTAGCAATGGCTTGGAATTTTCTAAAGATAGAATCCTAGTTGCTGATGTTTGAGTGCTAAATAATTTACATTTAAAGATAAAATGATCGCAAATATCAACAGATTCGCCACAACTACACAAAGGGTTGTTGCTTACTGCATTAGAATTTTAGAAATTTGCGAAGTTTACAATGTATCACTTTAAAAGATCCTTTGCCAAGATAAAAAAAATGCGTTTACAAGGGTTTGAAAACTGTAACCGAATTTTGTGTTTGAAATGGGACAGATTGTTCCTTAAGAATGATTTTTGGTAAAATTTGTTTTACATTGTATGGTTTTAAAAGAGTTGTTGTTTCGAAGATGGTACGGCTGGTTTGCAGTTTTTCTAATTTGCTCAAACGATTTGTTATCCCATAAAATGTCGGCATATTAAAAGATAGATAGAATAAATGCTTTGTAGATAATTTCTAAGGTTTTGCGTTTTAACCTATATTTGTGGGATCAAAAACAGTTTTTCACTTTGTTGGTTTTTGACGTTAAATACAATATATGATCTTCTCAGTTAGCTTTTGTGTTAAAAACGACACCGAGGTTGTTATGGATACAACCATCAATAATCGGTACTTTGTCGTAGATACAGTTTCGAGAAGAGTTCTTGCATCTTTGGAGAAATTAGGGTGTTTTTTCACCAGAATTTCCAACAGAGGAAAGTACATGTACTGAATGTGTGATGTTGCATTGAAAGGCCCAGTTAGTAATTAAACCTGGTATAGCATTGTCAGAATCAGAGGTTTTTTTTTACACTTTCATCTGTCCAGTAAGCGTTAAATTCATTACCAAAGTTTGTTTCTATTATTGGCCGAGAAGGTTCATCGAGTGCATGACGGAGGACCTGAGAAGGACAGCTGTCTAGTCATTCGGATGGGAAAGAAAACTAAGGCGTGAACATATAAGAGAGAGAGAGAGAAATGGGGTTTAACGTCCACTCGACACAAACTAGGTCATTTCGGGACTAACATATGGTTTTTTAATTTTATTTTCATAATTCGCTTGCACGTAGGGGTCTTTAGCAGTGGGAGGAAACCGGAGGACCCGGAGAAAACCCATGAGGGTGGACAGGCGACCCTACTCCTTGTCACGTACAACCAGGGTGAACATATAAGATCCCTTAACAGTCGGAATTCAGTATGAGTGGGCCATAGTGCCACTGTCAGGGCAAAATTTCACTCGTAGCACACTGTATGGTGTTTGCCCTTCTTCATTAGCCCAGTGTACTCCCTTCTTCACTAACAGTAGGATGTTAAACCCCATTTCATTTTGTTTGTTTCCATTAAGTCAGGTACTTGAAAAAGAAATGGGGTTTAACATCCACTTGCGCGTAGGGGTATTTAGCAGTGGGAGGAAACCGGAGGACCCAGAGAAAAGAGAGAGAGAAATGGGGTTTAACATCCAATTGACACAAACTAGGTCATTTCGGGACTAACACATGGTTTAATTTTATTTCAATAATTCGCTTGCGCGTAGGGGTCTTCAGCAGTGGGAGGAAACCGGAGGACCCGGAGAAAACCCACGGGGTTGGACAGGCGACCCTTCGGTTTTGGCACAATCCGTCCAGCACCGGGTCATCCGCTAGTTTTATGTAAATGAGTACAGGGCATATATACATAATTCTTAATCAGCATTCACAAATACCTGACAAATATAACACAATTCTTAATTCGCTTACACAAATATCTTAATTACATGTAGCATACACAAATATCTTAATTAGCATACACAAATATCTTAATTAGCATACACAAATATCTTGATTGGCATACACAAACATCTTAATTAAAATACACAAATATCTGAACTACACAAATGTCTTAATTGGCATACACAAATACCTGAAATACACAAACATCTTAATTAGCATACACAAACATCAGAAATACACAAACATCTTAATTAGCATACATGAATATCTTAAATACACAAATATCTGAAAAATATTGGAATGTACATACGAAATATCTTAAAAATGTGTATGTGGAAATATGAATACACGCAGGACATAATACATATACACAATCCTTAAAGTGCTGACAGACAGTTCTCGCTATAATAGTTAAAAGAATGGATAATGAAAACAGAATATGCTAAAAAATTCAGTCAAATTGCTGTTAGCCTGTCCAACCTTGTGGATTTTCTTCGGGTCCTTCGGTTTCCTCCCACTGCTAAAGACCCCTACACGCAAGCGAATTATTGAAATATAATTGAACCATGTTTTATTACCGAGTAGGCGACCCTACTCCTTGTCACGTACAACCAGGGATTCGAAACCGTGCACGTTGACTCAATGACAGTCCTTATACAGTAGTATGTTTACATAATAGTAATTAACTAAAACAACTTTCATATTTGTAGAGATTTAATATCCAATAAGGCTAAAATAAACCTCCTTGAGGTAATAAATCTTAAAAATATTGAATCTGATATATAGAGAATCTCCTACAAGTCTTTTTTTACATCAAAGTAAAAAAAGCCCCATTATTGTTTATATCGCTTGAGTCTAGTTTATTCGTTGATATCCGCTTGTGCCTGATTGAACAGAAAAAAATAGTACACAGTAAAAAGCAGACATAACAATTAAAATGAGTGGGGCTTCAGAACCCACTGCCAAGAACTGGCTTCAGACATAAGACCTAACCAAAAGTCTACATCGCATTCACAAACTGTCACAGCTACATGTACCTATAGCAGTGCTAAAAAAATCTAAGAAAGAAATCTAATCATTTGTTATCTATTAAAGGAGCTAAATCGCTAATATTTGGGACCTTGACATTGACACAAAATGGGTCGCAGTGCATATAATAATGCAATATGAATGTATATAAACTGATTTACATTCAATCGTTTCCGTTTTTATTCTAATTTCAAATCGGTTATCTTCGGCGAAATACGCCAGGAATTTCAATCGAATGACAATCGCTAGCATCTGGTTATTCCAGTCTACCCCGATAGTATTTATTGCGCATGCTCTCCAGATAAGAATATGCCGTCAGAATTTGACAGGACTAGTGGAATATGTCTAGATTTGTTCTTCGAGTCACTTGTTTACAACTGGCGTTGAAACACATGCATGGTACACGATTCATGTACCAATGGTATAATGTTTATTTTGTCTTAAATACTGGATACCAGAAGCTCTTCTTTCCCCGGTAAGATCACATCAATGTTAATTTAAATTGACAATTAGTTCGTGTTTTCAATGTAGAAGACATTGGATGATATTTAGTTAGAGACTTAGCTACTTTAAAGTAATATTTATTTTGTTATTTAAGTGTTTTATGTTGAAATTGAAAAAACAGCTAATCAATTTTTAAATTTGCTAATCAAATTTGGCAAAATTGGACTTTTTGATTATCCAAGTAGAATAAGTGGAAGCCATGTTTAAATTTGTTTTGAGTAACACTAGTGTTGTCAGTAGACTCTACCACAGCCGTAATTATCTCCCTTTTCAGCTTAATACTTTATTTGAGGTCAAAAGTTAGGAAAAGAGTTACACTGGTGTTACATTATGTCACAACTATTTACTCCAACATTACATTTGACCTCACTGACAAATGGGAATATATGTGACCCGCACAACTTCATTTTGTACTACGAACACAGAAGTATAAACTGTATGCATTCTTGTTGCTGTGAATGAGCCAAACTCTACTCCAGATGATATGACAAATTTAAAAAGAATTGCATTTTTGGAAAGCTTAGGCTGTGGACTATTCAAATATGATGCCAACTCTATTTTTTATAAAAATGACCAAGAGCCTGGTTTTCTGGGAGCAGTTCACATATTTAATTCAGTTGAAGAGTAGTACACACTCCTAATAAACATTCGGTGGCTGGGTTTGGTTTTTTTTGTATACCATTAGTGTAATTTCTGGTGTTTTTGTAGATGACCACAAATATCACATTTATGACCACTCAGACTAAAAGATTTATCAAACATCACATTGATAAGATTTTTCTACTGTATATTTCTTGTGTGAATGATTTTAAACAAACATCTTATTTATATGGTTTTTCACCAATATGAATTCTTATGTGTCTTTGTAGGTTAGCCCTAATTGAGAATGATTTACTACAAACATCACATTTATATGTTTTTTCACCAATATGGATTCTCATGTGTGACTGTAGACTACTGCAATGTGTGAATGATTTACTACAAACATCACATTTATAAGGCTTGTCACCAGTATGAATTCTGATGTGTGTTTGTAGACTACTACTAGCGGTAAATGATTTACCACAAACATCACATTTATAAGGTTTTTCACCTGTATGTATTCTCCTATGTGTCTGTAGATGACTACTAGTAGTAAATGATTTACTACAAACATCACATTTATAAGGTTTTTCACCTGTATGAATTCTCATGTGTGTTTTTAGACTACTACCAGCAGTAAATGATTTACTACAAACATTACATTTATAAGGTTTTTCACCAGTATGAATTCTCATGTGTTTTTGTAGACTACTACTATGAGTAAATGATTTACTACAAACATCACATTTATATGGTTTTTCACCAGTATGAATTCTCCTGTGGATCTGCAGATCACCATTCTTGGCGAATGATTTACTACAGACATTGCAATTAAAAGATTTGTCTCCTGTATGACATTTTATGTGTGATTGTAGGTGACTATGATTTTTGAAGGATTTACTACAAACATCACATTTATAAGGTTTTTCACCAGTATGAATTCTAATGTGTCTCTGTAGAGTACATTTATAAGGTTTTTCACCAGTATGTATTCGTACGTGTCTCTGTAGAGTACTACTATCAATAAATGATTTACTACAAACATCACATTTATAAGGTTTTTCACCGGTATGAATTCTCATGTGTCTCTGTTGTTGTCCTTTCTGACTAAATGATTCACTACAAACATCACATTTAAAAGGTTTATCTCTTGTATGAATTCTTATGTGCGTCTGTAGATTACCCTTCTGTGTAAATGACTTAAAACAAACATCACATTTATATGTTTTTTCACCAATATGGATTCTCATGTGTGACTGTAGACTACTGCAATGTGTGAATGATTTACTACAAACATCACATTTATAAGGCTTGTCACCAGTATGAATTCTGATGTGTGTTTGTAGACTACTACTAGCGGTAAATGATTTACCACAAACATCACATTTATAAGGTTTTTCACCTGTATGTATTCTCCTATGTGTCTGTAGATGACTACTAGTAGTAAATGATTTACTACAAACATCACATTTATAAGGTTTTTCACCTGTATGAATTCTCATGTGTGTTTTTAGACTACTACCAGCAGTAAATGATTTACTACAAACATTACATTTATAAGGTTTTTCACCAGTATGAATTCTCATGTGTTTTTGTAGACTACTACTATGAGTAAATGATTTACTACAAACATCACATTTATATGGTTTTTCACCAGTATGAATTCTCCTGTGGATCTGCAGATTACCATTCTTGGCGAATGATTTACTACAGACATTGCAATTAAAAGATTTGTCTCCTGTATGACATTTTATGTGTGATTGTAGGTGACTATGATTTTTGAAGGATTTACTACAAACATCACATTTATAAGGTTTTTCACCAGTATGAATTCTAATGTGTCTCTGTAGAGTACATTTATAAGGTTTTTCACCAGTATGTATTCGTACGTGTCTCTGTAGAGTACTACTATCAATAAATGATTTACTACAAACATCACATTTATAAGGTTTTTCACCGGTATGAATTCTCATGTGTCTCTGTTGTTGTCCTTTCTGACTAAATGATTTACTACAAACATCACATTTAAAAGGTTTATCTCTTGTATGAATTCTCATGTGCGTCTGTAGATTACCCTTCTGTGTAAATGACTTAAAACAAACATCACATTTATAAGGTTTTTCACCTGTATGTTTTCTCATGTGTACCTGTACACTACTGTTTTTACTAAACGACATATTACAAATGTCACATTTACGATGTTGTAAATCAGACTTCTCTTCTTTAACATCCTGTAATATATAAAAGTTATAACATCATTAGTATCCTGTAATATATAAAAGTTATAACATCATTAGTTTCTTGTAATATATAAAAGTGATAACATTATTAGTTTCCTGTAATATATAAAAGTTATAACATCATTTAGTCTCCTGTAATAAATAAAAGTTATAACATCATTAGTTTCCTGTAATATATAAAATTTATAGCACCATTAGTCCCCCTACAATATATAACATTATTTGTATCCTAGGGCCTGTTTCAGTAAGTTACAATTCGATATGCACGAAAATAGAAAAGAACCAAGATCTGTGGGTTATAAACATGCATTTCAAGTTTCATCAAAATCAGATGAAATTGTGACCTCCAGAGGGTCCACAACCCTGATACGCAATACTCTGACACTATTTGCAAGCAAGGGACGGCCATTTGTTTCCGTCAGTTTCGGTCTGATTTTTACGAAATTCGAACTCAACCATTCTTAGGGTGTAACGGTGATATATTCACACGTTTTTTTTCAATCAGTAAAATTGTGACTCTATGGGGTCCACAAGCTAAAAATGCGATTTTTCGTACAATCAGGGGCCATAATCCAGGAAGTTATAGTCTGATATGCGCGAATATCGAAAGGAACTGAGATCTGTTGGTTATAAACATACTTTCAAGTTTAAACCAAATCGGATAAAAATTGTGACCTCTACAGTGTTTACAAGTTAAAAATGTGATATTTCGTACAATTGGGCCATAATCCATGAAGTTACAGTCCGATACATGCCAATATCGAAAGGAACCAAGATCTTAGGGTGATAAGATAAAAATGTGGGCATATAAAAATACGTAATACCTGTTTTTTAATTTGTGGGATGAAACGACTAGATATAAGTGGGATGAAACGACCTGCTCCCTTTCTGGTTTAGTAAGATACAAAATTCCACAGAATACAGAACATTTTACTCACACATGTATGCTATTTGAGTATTTCCATCTATACAAAATGTCTATTTCTCTATCTTAGCTTCACTATGATGAACGAAAATGTCTGTTAACAGTGTCTTACTTCAAATGACAATCTTAAAGCGGTCCAATAGATTTCCCCTTAATAAACCATATTTCAAATATAACAAAACATTTTTATTGTTTTTTCTATATTTTTATATAGATGATAATGATTAATATTCGCTGAACGTTACTTGTTGCCCCAAAATAAACTCACCATTGCGATGTTAGCAACTGTTGATATAACACTTCAAATCAGGGTCCCTTATCTGGTAAAAATAAATTGTTGATGGTTACAGCTGAGATACAAGTTGATTTAACACTTTAGAGCAAGGTCACTCGTCTGATGGGAGATAGCACAAAGAAAACCGCCTTTCTTCGCTATACCATGTTCATTTCCGGAACAATTTGGCGCAATAGTTGTATATTGAAAGAGGATGTGGATCTCTCAAACACGAATAATTCATAATTTTAAGAAGACAGACCACTCACATCATGGGTGTATTTGAAACAGTGTTTCGGTGCAGAGAACGGGTTCTTGTCGGTTTTGAACAGCCAGGAATGCGTTCGCGAACATTTTCCCATTATCAAATCCTACACTACCTCGTTAGCTTGTGTGAGGCAAGAACAAATATGGTCGACGCGTCGACAATTGCCGAGAAAACAGCAGTGTGAGTGCATTTATTTATCTTAAAGTTTAAAACCTTTGGAAAACTGCATGTAGCATGTTGCCAGCTATATAACATCAACTAAAAGGCGATATAATCATGACAGAAAGAATTGAAAAGGAGTAAAATGGAGCCATTTATCAAAATTATGCTTAATAGTAAATTTATAGTAATAGTAATAGTAAATTTATTGCATAAAAACGCCCACGAGGAGCAGCATACAATTACAAAAATTAGTGAAGTCATTTATGTGTAATACAGTTCTTATACAGTTACAGTAATAGATTGTATACCGGTAAATTTAATTCAACTTTTTCAAGTTTGTCTGCTAATATTTAGTGTCGGGATTGGAATATCTACCTTTTTACTTTTCTAGTTACTGGAAAGATGCCAATGTACATTTCGGCGATGGTCTAGTGTAGGGAACAAGTTGTTTTGACACCGAGCTGGTTCGACACCCGCAACCCGAATTGTTTCGACACAATCTATTTGGGTCAGTTTGATTAGGATTTGGTTAGGTTGATTATATAGTATTAGTGGTTGATTTAAATAATAAAGATTTTACAAGACTCGCACGACATCCTATCACCAGTCATCTAACGGGCAGGCTGACCGCTATAATCGATCATTAGTAGAAGCAGTGAAATGTTACATTGATGGTCAGGGCGATTGGGATGTATATCTATCGCAACTCACAAGCGCATTGAGGTCAAGTGTGAACCGACAAACTGGGTTTACAACAAATAAACTAATGCTAGGTCTCGAAGTAAATCACCCTGCAGACTTAATGTTCCGCTCACCCGTTTTTCAACGCTGGTGATGTCAGAAAATTAGAAAAAGTTATGGTTGAAACGCATAGATTAGCTCGAGAAAGATTAAAAACGAACCAAGAACGAATGAAGAGAGATTACGATCTACGTTCAAATGTTAGAAAATATGAAGTAGCTGATGCCGTTTACATTTTAGATACCGCTAGTAAAAAGGGTAAAAGTAGGAAGTTGTCTCCATCTTGGAAAGGGCCCGGGATTATTACGCAAGTCATCACTCCATATCTTTTTCGAGTTAAAACCCGTAAAAATGAGTCAGTTTTAAATCATGACCGTATTAAGCTTTGTTGAGATCGGGAGTTGCCAAACTGGATTATTAATTTCCGTCGCAGATCGAATTCTGATGCTTCACTCCCGACTGTTTCGGGGAATGCGGAAGTTTATTGCATTTGTAGAGAACCGGATAATGGCACACCAATGATTTGTTGCGACCAATGTGACGACTGGTTTCATTATCATTGCGGTAATATAGCCTTGGATTCTGATTGGGAGGGTAAAGAATATATTTGTCCCAATTGTTCCGAATGATTATTTTGTTCCGGTTCTGATGCCGAGCACAAGGGGGGTGGTTTTATGTAATGATATTTGGGGGATCACTGTGGCTAAGTGGGTAAGACGTTGGCTCACTAGCCTGGAGGTCAGGTGTTGGATCCAGGGCTGTGGCCATTACATTGCCAATGTAATTAATTACTTGGATCCCTGCATTGGCCGAGAAAGTTCATCCAGGATTTCAGGCGTGGTTCCCCCTTGTCAGTTATGCAGGACGGAGGGCCTGACAAGGACAGCTGTCTAGTCCTTCGGATGATACGAAAAACCGAGGTCCTGTGTATACATTGGAATGCACGTAAAAGATCCCTTGGCAGTTGGAATTCGATATAAGAGTAGGCGATAGTGCCGCTGCCCGGGCAAAATTTCCCTCATAGCACACCGTATGGCGTATTCCCATCTTCATTAGCCCAGTATAGGAGCAGAACAGTAGGACGTTAAACCCCATTTCATTTCATTTTGTAATGATATTTACTGTCTTTACCGATTTTCTACGGTAAAGACAGTGCGTTGTCTTTTTATTTTTTTAGATTAGATAATGGAGAATACCTTTGGTATTGAACACTGGACCATCCGTCCTAGTCAGTAACGGTTTAAACCGTAGTGTAACAGGATTTGAAAGGGTGTGTATGTTCACGGTGTATAGTATATACCGCTATCTGTATGATTGTGCGTGAAAGTCTCGAATGCAAATCTGTTGTAAATATTGTAAATAATATCCTATGTTTTAAATGTTCACGAACATGTTACATACAGGTGTATGTGGATAGCAAACACCATAATACTCATTTTTCTTGAACAATTTAATCTTTTCTCGTGTCTAATTTTATTATCTCTCGTATTTTATTATTGTTAATTGTCTATAAACCGTCTATGTTTTGTGAAACTGATTTGAATTGAAGGAAATATTTACATTTAATTTTATAGATCCTCTCCTGATTGAAATAATTAAGAAAAACTGCATAGATTCCGGTATGTAGCGGTTGTACCTTCAACAACTATACCCAAATAACTGGTTGATACACCGGTGGATGTACCGATAGATGATAGACCGGTGGATGTACCGAACGAACTCAACAGGTGGGCTGATAATTCTCAAATCTTACTGCTTTATCATACAATTGAAATGTACAATAATGATTTACAAAATTTAATTATTGTTGAGTTCGGAAGAAGAACTTTTATGTTGCTAAAAGATTTGGGAGAAGCGGAGACTAAACTTTTAATCAGCTTATGGGTAGAAAGGCAGCCAAGCTCTGATTCTGGAAAGTGATCACACAAAACGTTACGGTCGAAAATTGCAACGTTGATGAACGAAAACGGCTATCAAGTAACTCCGAGAATTGTTCTAATAAGTGGAAATCTCCATACGGAAACTGACTACAATTCACGTACTGGCAATGAACTGAAAACGTGCAGTCATTATAAAACCTTTATGGAAACAACCCAACAGTCAGACCAGAGTACACGATGGGTTCCCTGCCATCGACAACCCATCTGTCAGACCAGAGTGCACAGTGGATTCCCTACCCTTTACAAACACAGAGGACACAATCGACCCATCAGGACATAAATACAAAGGGTAAGTGGGAGGCAGAAAGAGTCAGTTGTAAGGAGACACCTTGAAAAGATGCAACAACGTTACCCTACCCCCCCCCCCAATACTAATTTTGATTATGATTTGGCTGTACCTTTGGGGGGCGGGGGTTTAACCTCTTAAATTTGCTATACCCATGAAAACCGATGCACCCCTTATTGGTTGGGGTGTAGTATTAGGAGACTCAGACTAATGGTCTTTGGATTTTTTCTGAACCAAAACAGAACATTAATGGAGAGAGAGAGGGAGAGAGGAATGGGGTTTAACTTCCACTCGACACAAACTAGGTCATTTTGGGACTCACATAAGGTTGAAATTTTTTCAATAATTCGCTTGCGCGTAAGGGTCTTTAGCAGTGGGAGAAAACCCACGAGGTTGGACAGGCAACCCTACTTCCTTGTCACATACAACCAGGGAATAGAAACCCCACCAGTTGACTCAATGACAGACGTTCTGATACAATGCCCACGCACCCCCTCCACATCTGCAAGAAAACTATCCGTTTACCATCAAATTGAATTTTAGACGTCTCGGCTAATATCACATCCAACTTGAATTTTCGTGTGGAAAATTTGCTAACTGATCAGTATGCAAAATTGAATGAACTACACTAAATATTATGGCCTCACATCAGCGGGAAAAATATTTTATTGTATTCTTGTGAAACTTACAAAAATGACAATTCTAGTGTAGTAAAGACAAGTAAAACGAAATTTTGAATTATAAAAAACAAAACGAAATGGGATCTGTGTTTTAATCAGATTGGAATACACTGTAAATGGTTTATTGTGGACTTGTGCTTGCATGTGTTCTTGTGTGTCTCTTCAGGTGAATGATTTACTACAAACATCACATTTAAAAGGTTTTTTCTCCTGTGTTGCTGCAGACCACTAGTATCAGAAAACAATCGGGAGATGAATATGCCCCTGTTTCGTATTTATCGGGGGGTTTATTGTCCATTTAACCATGCTTGAATCAATAGAACATTGGTAAGTTTTCAGACATTATTATTTTAATTCCAGACTGTATCTAGTTCTTGTTTATACAGTTGCCTTTCATACTTACATCCTAAAAAATACCCTATAAAACTGTGTGATGTCTAGGATTCTAGCAGTTGCTATGTATACTGTTCTGACATGTCGTCAACAAATGTCAATTGGGGCATAGAATTCCTTTTTATTAGGCCCAGTTCAGCCTACTATTTTGGACTCCCTCATTATATTTTAAAGCTATTTCTTGTGACTAATGACTTATTATTAGGCAGATCATGTCAGTCAGAATTTGATCAAAGCGTGATTTTAAAATTCCACCTGATTAAGTCCTAAAAATTGGTGAGTGAAGCTAGCCTACCAAAAGAGAAAACAAAAATGCCCTTAGTGTCACTGCCTAGTAACAAATAATTTAGGATACTTGAAAACGGTTTTAATTAATTTATGACAGATTTTCTACTGTTTTATGTATTTCAGAAATGTGTTTTCATAAAAAACGATCTTTGACAATGGGGTGATAGTCATGTGTGCAGAATTCTTGAAGATATTTACCAATAAAGATTTGAGTTGAGGAAGACATTTGAGCACATAAATTAAAAAAAACAACAGTACACTGTTATATTTATACGCAGTAATGCATCTTGATAATTTAGAAGGGGTTTATTGTCCATTTGACCACACTTTTCGACCAATCAGAATTGAGGAAATTTTTGTTTTGTGCTACAATTTACTACAGACATCACATGTGAATGGGTTTCACTCCATTCAGCAAACCTCGACAGATTCTACGCATCTAATCTCGGCTGTATGACGATTTCCGCCATATTGGAACTATTTTAAAGGTCCCGGATGAAAAATGGCTGCGCCCGTGGAGATTTCTGTGGGGAGTGTATTATATCAACAAACGTCAAGTTTGGCATGGGGTTTGGGGAGTTATATCAAACCAGCAGCCTTAAGACAATATCTCTGCTCATTTAGTTATATACACTCGACAAAAGACGCCATTTTTGGACTTTTTTGTAAAAGTGACACGTTTTCCTGTTAAAGTAAATCGGTAACCGCATCGCAAATGTATGGGCGTAGGTACATATCAAATACTATCATACAGCCGAGGTTAGATGTAGTGTACCGGAATCTGCCGAGTGCGTTTCATTCCAGTATGAGTTCTCTGGTGTTGCTGCAGACCACTACTATCAGTAAATGATTTACTACAAACATCACATTTATAAGGTCTTTCACCTGTATGAATTCTGACATGTGTTAGTAGAGCTGCACTCTGATTAAATGATTTACTACAAACATCACATTTATAAGGTTTATCACCAGTGTGAATTCTCATATGTCGCTGCAGGCCACTAGTATCAGTAAATGATTTACTACAAACATCACATTTAAATGGTTTATCCCCAGTATGTATTCTAATGTGTCTATGTAGATGACTACTGTTAGTAAATGATTTACCACAAACATCACATGTAAAGTGTCTTTCTCCCGCATGACACTTTATGTGTTTCTGTAGACCGCTGCGGTCAGTAAATGATTTATTACAAATATCACATATAAAAGGTTTTTCACCAGTATGAATTCTCATGTGTGTTCGTAGAGTACTACGCTGAGTAAATGATTTACTACAAACATCACATTTATATGGTTTTTCACCTGTGTGACTTCTAATATGTCTATGAAGGAGACTATTGTGTGGGAATGATTTACTACAAACATCACAAGAAAAAAGTTTTTCTTCTGTATGACTTCCCATGTGTGCTTGTAGACCACTATTCTTACTAAACGACATATTACAAATATCACATTTATCATGTTGTAAAACAGAATTCTCTTCTTTAACATGTATTTCACAGTGTTTCTCTAAATCAGTTTCTAATTTAAATTCTTCATCACATAAATTACACTGATAAACAGTTTCAATATCTTCAGTTTTCTCTTCTTTAACATGACAATATTCATCTACATCATCAGTTTTCTCTTCTTTATCATGCCAATATCCAACTATATCATCAGTTTTCTCTTCTTTAGCATGACAATATTCATCTATATCATCAGTTTTCTCTTCTTTAACATGACAATATTCATCTACATCATCAATTTTCTCTTCTTTAACATGACAATATTCATCAACATTATCAGTTTTCTCTTCTGTAACATGACAGTATTCATCTACATCATCAGTTTTCTCTTCTTTAACATGCACATAGTAGTGTCTTTCTAAATCATCAAGTTGTTCAAAAATTTCATCACATACAACACACTGATGAAAACTTATAACATCATCAGGTTCCTGTAATATATAAAAGTTATAACATCATTAGTATCCTGTAATTTTATTTTGACAAGGGTGTTGAGCTGGGCGATATTTTGGTATTTCGATATAAAACTGTCACAGAAATAAAAACCGTCAAAAATACTGCCTTCAGAAAAATATCGAAAAACCGAACATACCTCGCGGTTTTGATTTTTCTGGATGATATTTAACATAAATATTGATAAAATGTTTTCCTTTTTATGTTATTTACGATATTTTATTGCTTCATTATGAATAAATACTGTTAAATAAACTTACGAGTTTTCCACGAAGCTTGTCAATGCTGATAAGGAGCTTTGTTTACGTCACGTGACTTCTCCCTCACATTTTCACCCGTTAGAATTATCCCTTTTTTTGTTCAATTTCTATGCATCTTGACGAATCGTTTATACCGATATTTGATTTTCCAAAGGAATCCTTGATATTCAGATTGAAATAAATTTTAATAAAGCAGAAATATAAATAACGCCAACTATATTGCGAGTTCCGGTAGACTGATTATCATTCATTCAGCGTTGACGTGTGATGGCTGTCTGTGATCCGAAAAACAAATATTTGACTAAATTAATGAACACTTTTTGACATATTACTTTTGTTTTAGTATCATGGTATTGTATAATGCATTTTCAAGAAGGTATACACTTGAACGAGAAAAAATGAACGAGGTTCAATGAACAACATCCAATTGTACCCGTAGCTATAAAAATATGCACGGCCGAAAGAACACAAACTTCTTTTTATGTTTTTTGTGCCTCCTTCATATGTAAATATTTTTAATTTAAACAAAACATTATAATTACTATAGTCAGTATTTTTCATGGTTTGTATTTCTGTGACTGTTTTATATTGAAAACCGAAATATCGCTCAGCTCAAGGGAACGGTAAATTTTACCGTCATCTTGTTTTCATAAAATCGTTTTTGGCTGATTATAAATTCATTTGATAGTTGTATTCAACCTTTCCTTTCAACTTAGTTTCCAAGTTCAAAATGTCAACGGACCGAGTCCAAAACATCGATGCCATATTTTTTTCAGTCTGAAAGGTTGTAAGTACGAAAAGTGTTGCAGGACCGATATGTCATGTAATCGACAATAACTTTAAATAACTCATGATAATTAAAAAGGAATTCTCGATTCTCGGTCTGTATTCTCAATAAAAACACAAATAATCTTCTAGAATTTTAGGTTTATTGTATCAAACGGATGGCAAATAATTCTCCTTATCGTTATGGGATATTCGCCATTCGGATTACGAATATTCAATCCGAAAATAAACTCACCATTTTAATGTTATTGTCATTTGTTGATATTTGCAGGTGAGGTCTACAGATGCAAGTTGATTTAACGGATCAAAACAAGGTCAGTCGTCTGGTAAACCAAAACAAGGGTCTTCAGTGGGGCTTAACGTCTACAGAAATGGGGTATCGCGTGAAGAAAACTGGTTCTTTGTTGTCCGATGTTCATTTCCGGAACAATTTGGCTATAGTTGTATATTGAAAGAAGATGTGGATCTATCCAACACGAATAATTCATAATTATGAAGACAGACGACTCACATAATACTAATAATAATTGTAATGGCCCTACTGGTAAAACTGTCGAAACAGGAAAGTCTTTAGTGTGGATTTAAATTGATTAAAAGTTTGTTGATTCTTGATCTGTTGTGGAATTTCGTTCCATAATCTAGGACCAGCTGAACTGAAAGACCTATACCCATATGACTTTAAATCATATCTTGGAACAACTAATGACTGTTTATTTTAAGAGCGAATGATCTAATACGGTTGTAGTCATATAAGAGTCCAGATAAGTATTGAGGAGCTGCATTATTGCGACATTGACTCGCGCCTCAGCAGGTAGCCAATGTAAAGAAACTATCACATTCTGGATGTGATCAAACTTATGTGTCCTTGTTACTATTCGGGCTGCAGTATTAAGAACTTTTTGGATCTTTTGGATCCTTAGGCTATTTCACATACGCATGACAGGAAGTAGTTACATTTTGAGTGAATAAACATATTAAGTTTGCATGTAATTATATTCCACTATAGCCTCCAGGCTTCTCTGATTTATGATTGCATGTTTCTTGTGACATCACTAGAATATGCCCTTAATGCAACGTTTCAAGTAAACAAAAACATACGTATGTATCGCACGTCCCTCGATCATTGTTCAGTTGTAATGGTTGATGGAGAATAAAATTATGATCGACTATCATCCTGTTAATTTTGATTTTGGTGGCGACCTTAACCATCAGTCATCCAATGAAAACAAGGATGTCATCAACGTGGTACTTTAGGTTTCCCTGGAAAAAGTATTATCAATAAAAATAAAGCATGTAACCAAACTCGGGTGAATACTAGAAAACGTAAAAAAGGTAAAATTACACCCATTAAGACGATCAAAAACCCCTGTCGTGTCGTGTAGATGTTTGGATCGCATATGATCTGGCTGTCGTTGAGTCATGTAAAAAGATCGCACCCAGAATAACCATTTAAAAAGCTGCAAATATTGTCAAGGGCCTTCAGTGTAATCCAAAGCAATCATACAGCTGTCTTGGACTCTACTTTTAAGAAAAATAATATTATGCTTGCACCTACTCAGTTAACATTGATCGTTAGATTTACGTAATGTTTCCGTCATTTTAGTTAGGGTAGAGTAATATTAACATTTTACAGCTAAATTGACGTTATTTTTTAGGTCAGAAAATGACGTAAATTAGATCTGAACCTATTGCTACTATTACAAGCAATACAGATCAGCATAAAGATATATATGTATAGACCGAACACAATAAGGCCACCTATTAGCCTAGCTGATCAACTGATAAAATTTGGAATCTATTCGTTTGCAACTTACTTAGAATAAACACCCAAATCGCTATGATGAGTTTCTGATAATTCACCGAAATCCAATGCTTATTACCATTCGAGGCGATTCAACTTTCTAGAATCACCATTTGAAAACTTCTAGAAACTGGAAACTTCTGGAAACAGTATTTAGAAATAATTGAAAGGTTCTGGAGAGTTCTAGAAAAGTTGGAAGGTTCCGGAAAATTTGAGAATGTTCCTGACAGTTCTAAAATTTCTTAAAACTCTATAAGTCGGACCAGGCCTGAACTTTTTTAGCACTTCCAACATCATTAAACATTTGTCGTAAGTTTCTATTTGACCCAAGAGGAACTGTCAGATTCAGATTCTTTTGATGTGCTTCCAACACTTTAAATATGCAATCATAAATCGAAGAAGCTCAGAGGGTTAAAGTGGAATTCCTCTTTCATCCAAGGGCTTGAAGGATGTGATGGATATTAAAAATTATATGACTAATAGCCAGAGGGCTTGAGGAGTTATTTCCCCTCATTTATCCTCCCTGGTCTATTTATGAATAGTAGCCAGAGAGCTCGAGGAGTTATCTTCCCTCATTTGTCCTCCCACGTCTATATCATTTAATTGGTTGTAAACTTACAGTTTCACTTCACTTTAAAAAGACATCGATGATGGCTGTATTAATTTTCTATCATATATTTTTATTCTGTATATAAACTAAAATCTACACTGATTAACATTGTGAATAACATTTTTTTCATATAAAGATTTTATTACAATATGCTGATACTCAAGTCAGTCACCAAATAGCAGGGAAACGCGTTCATGCCAATTTTGATGGGGAGGTCATTACACAACAAGCTTTATGTCTATGCCCTGTTTAAATAGGAATATCTTCACTTGATTAAAACATTAAAACTCAGTCATCTTTTGGGTGTAACGGTGATGTAATAATACAAATTTTTAAATCGGATAAAAATTATGACCTCTATAGGGTCCACAAGCTAAAAACGCGATTTTTCGTACAATCAGGGGCCATAATTCAGGAAGTTATGTTCCGATATGCGCGAATATCGAAAGGAACCGAGATCTTTGGGTTATAAGCATACATTTCAAGTTTGAAACAAATTGGATAAAAATTGTGGCCTCTACAGTGTTCACAAGCTAAAAACGTGATTTTTTCGTACAATCAGGGGCCATAATCCATGAAGTTACAGTCCGATACATGCCAATATCGAAAGGAACCGAGATCTTAGGGTGATAAACCTATATTTCAAGTTTCATTGAAATTGGATAAAAATTGTGACCTGTAGACTGTTCACAAACAATTGTGGACGGACGGGGACGACGACAATATACGTCCACATGAAAATGTGGGCGTATAAAAAGTATGGATCCTTCTCACAAGTTGCCACTCCTTTCAAAGGTAAATGAAAAGGCACAGTTAAGAAGACATTTGCATGGGGAAGAGAATCGGGGTCTAATGTCCACTCAACACAAACTAGGTCATTTTGGGAGTAAAACGTGATTCAATTTTATTTCAATTTTTCACTTGTGCGTAGAGGTCTTTAGCAGTTGGGGACGAAACTAGAGGACTCAGAGAAAACCCATGAGGTTGGACAGGTGACCCTACTTCCTTGTCACGTATAAGCGGGGATTGGATAATTTATTACAAATATCACATTTAAAAGGTTTTTATACGCTCACATTGCTGTCGCCCCTGTCTGTCCGTCCATCCGTCCTCCACAATTTCTTGTGAACGCTCCAAAATTTATTATCCGATTGTTTTAAAATTGATATATGTGGTTTACATTAGTGAGATGAAAAAGCCTATTTAATGTCTATGAGTTATGGCCCTTGTTTCACTTTGTTCAACCTTATTAATACTCGATTGATGAAAGTTATCATCCGATATGTATGAAATTTATATGCATCATTTAAATTTGTGAAACAGAGGTCTATTGAATTTCATAATTTCCATCAATAATTTTAATAGTTATGGTGATTGTGAACGTTTGAATGACAAAAGTTATCATCTGATCTGTATGAAATTTATATGCATTATTTAAATTAGTAAAACGAAAAAGCCTGTCAAATTTCAACAATTTCTGTGGATTACTTCCAGAGTTGCAAACCTTGCTTCAGTTAGAACCTTGTAAAAATTATAATCTGATCTGTATGGAACTGTCTTGTAAAGGCCATCTTGAAATTACCTACAAAGGAATAAGCTGCTGTGGGCGTATGTTTCATTGCCTAGCAACCTTTTTTCACGTGTGCACGTAGATTACTACGCTGAGTAAATGATTTACTACAAACATCACATTTATAAGGTTTTTCACCTGTATGAATTCTCATGTGTTCCTTAAGATCTCCATTCTTTCGAAACGATTTACCACAAACATCACATGTATAAAGTTTTTCACCTGTATGAATTCTAATGTGTAGCTGTAGGCTACTTCTATGAGTGAATGATTTACTACAAACATCACATTTATATAGTTTCTCTTGAGTGTGAGTTCTCATGTGTTGTTGTATATTACTACTGTTAGTGAAGGATTTACTACAAACATCACATTTATAAAGTTTTTCACCTGTATGGGTTCTAATGTGTAGCTGTAGGCTACTTCTATGAGTGAATGATTTACTACAAACATCACATTTATATAGTTTCTCTTGAGTGTGAGTTCTCATGTGTTGTTGTATATTACTACTGTTAGTGAAGGATTTACTACAAACATCACATTTATAAAGTTTTTCACCTGTATGGGTTCTAATGTGTAGCTGTAGGCCACTACTATGAGTAAATGATTTACTACAGACATTACATTTATAAGGTTTTTCACCAGTATGAATTCTCATGTGTTCCTTAAGATTTCCATTCTGTCTAAATGATTTGCCACAAACATCACATATATAAGGTTTTTCACCTGTATGAATTCTAATGTGTAGCTGCAGATCACTACTCTGAGTAAATGATTTACTACAAACATCACATTTATAAGGTTTTTTTCCATGATATTTCATGTGTGACTGTAGACTGCTACTAGTGGTGAATGATTTACTACAAACATCACATTTATAAGGTCTGTCACCAGTATGTATTGTCATGTGGCTCAGTAGGCTTCTATTCTGAGAAAATGATTTACTACAAATATTACATTTATAAGGTTTTTCACCAGTATGAATTCTCATGTGTGTTTTTAGACTACTACCAGCAGTATATGATTTACTACAGACATTACATTTATAAGGTTTTTTTCCAGTATGAATTCGGATGTGAACATCACACTTCTTAAACTCTTGTGAATTGTGCTTTTCTTTTTCATTATACTGACTAAAACTTGTCTCTGAATTTTTACCGTGCTGTAAAACAGAATCCTCTTCTTTAACATGTATTTCACAGTGTTTTTCTAAATCAGTTTCTAATTTAAATTCATCATCACACAAATTACACGGATAAACAGTTTCAATATCATCAGTTTTCTCTTCTTTAACATCACAATATCCATCTACATCATCAGTTTTCTCTTCTTTAACATGACAATATTCATCTACATCATCAGTTGTCTCTGCTTTAAATTGAACATAACAATATTCATCTACATCATCAGTTTTCTCTTCTTTAACATGTATTTTGTTGTGTTTTTCTAAATCATCAAATCGTTGAAAAATCTCATCACATATTGTACATTGATGAAAAGTTATAACATCATTAGTTTCCTGTAATATATAAAAGTTATAACATCATTAGTATTCTGTAATATATAAAAGTTATAACATCATTAGTCTCCTGTAATATATAAAAGTTATAACATCATTGGTTCCCTGTAATATATAAAAGTTATAACATCATTAGTTTCCTGTAATATATAAAAGTTATAACATCATTAGTTCCCTGTAATATATAAAAGTTATAACATCATTAGTTCCCTGTAATATATAAAAATTATAACATCATTAGTTTCCTGTAATATATAAAAGTTATAACATCATTAGTCTCTTGTAATATATAAAAGTTATAACATCATTAGTTCCCTGTAATATATAAAAGTTATAACATATTAGTTTCCTGCAATATATAAAAGTTATAACGTCATTAGTTTCCTATAATATATAAAAGTTATAACACCATTGGTTCCCTGTAATATATAAAAGTTATAACATCATTAGTCTCCTGTAATATATAAAAGTTATAACATCATTAGTTCCCTGTATTATATAAAAATTATAACATCATTAGTTTCCTGTAATATATAAAAGTTATAACATCATTAGTCTCTTGTAATATATAAAAGTTATAACATCATTAGTTCCCTGTAATATATAAAAGTTATAACATATTAGTTTCCTGCAATATATAAAAGTTATAACATCATTAGTTTCCTATAATATATAAAAGTTATAACACCATTGGTTCCCTGTAATAGTTCCCTGTAATATATAAAAGTTATAACATATTAGTTTCCTGCAATATATAAAAGTTATAACATCATTAGTTTCCTATAATATATAAAAGTTATAACATCATTAGTATTCTGTAATATATAAAAGTTATAACATCATTAGTCTCCTGTAATATATAAAAGTTATAACATCATTGGTTCCCTGTAATATATAAAAGTTATAACATCATTAGTTTCCTGTAATATATAAAAGTTATAACATCATTAGTTCCCTGTAATATATAAAAGTTATAACATCATTAGTTCCCTGTAATATATAAAAATTATAACATCATTAGTTTCCTGTAATATATAAAAGTTATAACATCATTAGTCTCTTGTAATATATAAAAGTTATAACATCATTAGTTCCCTGTAATATATAAAAGTTATAACATATTAGTTTCCTGCAATATATAAAAGTTATAACATCATTAGTTTCCTATAATATATAAAAGTTATAACACCATTGGTTCCCTGTAATATATAAAAGTTATAACATCATTAGTCTCCTGTAATATATAAAAGTTATAACATCATTAGTTCCCTGTATTATATAAAAATTATAACATCATTAGTTTCCTGTAATATATAAAAGTTATAACATCATTAGTCTCTTGTAATATATAAAAGTTATAACATCATTAGTTCCCTGTAATATATAAAAGTTATAACATATTAGTTTCCTGCAATATATAAAAGTTATAACATCATTAGTTTCCTATAATATATAAAAGTTATAACACCATTGGTTCCCTGTAATATATAAAAGTTATAACATCATTAGTCTCCTGTAATATATAAAAGTTATAACATCATTAGTTCCCTGTATTATATAAAAGTTATAACATCATTAGTTTCCTATAATATATAAAAGTTATAACACCATTGGTTCCCTGTAATATATAAAAGTTATAACATCATTAGTCTCCTGTAATATATAAAAGTTATAACATCATTAGTTCCCTGTATTATATAAAAGTTATAACATCATTAGTTCCCTGTAATGTATAAAAGTTTTAACATCATTAGTTCCCTGTAATGTCTAAAAGTTTTAACATCATTAGTTCCCTGTAATGTATAAAAGTTATACATTAAACTTCGTATAAGTCGGAACTAAGTGGACAAATTTTATCTGAGTTAAGCAAAGATCTGAGTTAGCCGAAGACCAAAATTCAATCTTAGCTCGATTAGCCGTATAAATTCTATAATGTCAATGTCTGTACTGCGTTCCGGGTTTTTTTTCTTGTGATTGTTTGTTGATAAGTAAATTATAAAATGATGCGTGAACACTGAATAGCTGATTGTATATTATTGAGCTGAGTAAGACATTCCTGTGTTCTGACTTACCCCTACAGCTTTAACTGCTAATTAAAAATCCAATACCGGCAATAGATTACAATTCACTAGTACAACAATTCCTATACATAATATTTTAACATATATAGCGATAATAATATTGACGAAAAGCAACAATAGAAGACGGTACAAATAGAAAAAAACATGTGTCATTTAAAAAGGCGGCAACATATTCCGAGGGGGGGGGGAATAGAATATCCTCCTGACTGGTATTGCCAGAAACTCATTTATTTGTTGTCTCGTACACAGTAACGGCACATTCTGAGTGTGAATTTAATTACAACTGGATTTAAAATTAATTTATACTGGAGGAATTTCTGAGGGAATCTTTCGATTTTATTGTCGGAGCATTGTTTTCTTCTTTATAAAACGGTATTTTATTAAAATTACATTGGCAGTTTATCACTCGTAAAAAGGCACAGCCAACTTCCCCCGAAATTTTATTGATCATCTTCCTTCCTTACAAAATGTAAATAAATCGATGTCTATATCCAGCGTTTTGTGAATCAGTGCATGTGTCAGATATTCGGAACTCTTTTTTCCTGAACTGCTCGTTTTTATTGTGGTAAGAATCTTACAATAGTTTACCTTATTCAATAAAAACAATACACATAGATCATAATTGACCTCTTTTAGTGTTCGACTATCTGTCCTTTCATTATTGTCTTTATATTCCATGAAACCAATTCTGACATCGGTCAAAGATATATATTATTGGTGAATGGCTTTCATGCAAGCTTCAAGTAGGTCAATCAATGTCATTCATTATCAACATTGCCATACATTGTCAATATAAACAGTTTATTTATAGTAAAAAACATGTGCTTTATAAAGATACCTGTAAGAGTATTGAAACTTTGCATGTAATAAACCAAGAAGTAGTAAATCCATAAAGTTGTGTTATTATGAATATTATACCTCTACTTCTAAATGTCATTTAAGGATATGTGCTTTATTATCATACGCAATTTCTCGGACTGATAATAGTCAAGTTGCCGTTGATGGAAATAAGTTACCAAATAAAATAGTAAAATCCCTGCTGAGAGAGAGAGAGAGGAAAGTGCACTCTAGACCATTTCGGGACTAATACATGGTTTAATTTATCTCAATAATTCACTTGCACGTAGGAGTGTGGGGGAACAGGAGGACCCGGAGAAAACTCACGAGGCTGGACAGACGGCCCTACTCCTTGTCACGTACAACCAGGGAATCAAAACCACGCCAGTTGACTCAATGACAGACCTCATTTAAATACAGTGCAAACGCACTGCTAACCATTCGGCCATCCAACCCCCCAAAATAGATATAACATGTGGTTTATTATGATACGCAAGTATTTTTCTCGAATTGATAATAGCCAATTGCCGTTGATGGTAATGAGCTACCAAATAAAATAGTAAAATCCCTGATCCTTGCCATAATCAACTCTCGATGGCATCAGATTTCTCCGATATTAAATAGATTAAAATAGTTCAGACATATTTTGATTTAATTTAAAAATGGAGGAACGAGACTTAGCTTAGAACAACCAGTACGGTGGTTGCAATTATTGCACACATCTTGTCAAACCTTCAAAGGCTATCTTCACTCGCAATAGAGTAATTTGAAGGAAATTTCAAATTATTCATTTTACATTGTCTTTTTTCGAACTATTATAGCCAGAATGGGAAGCTGTTTATCTAAATAATAATGTATTTTTAACTGGAACCCGGTTACATTTTGCATTCACAAATCGGCGACAACTTACCATTATGCTGTTATCACAGTTGATTGTTGATGTTTACAACTGAACTCTTCAAATACCAGGTCAGTCGTCTAGTAAAAAATATTATCCAGTTGATGTTTACAGCTGAGGTCTACATGTACAAGTTGATTTACCGCTTCAAAACAAGGTCAGTCATCTGGTTATCACGTTTAGTCAGTGGGGGTTTAACGAGGTCAACTTCCACAGACGGGAAGTGAGATGGCTATCCCATGTTCATTTCCGGAACAACATGGAGATAGTTGTATATTGAAAGAAGACGCGAATCTATCCAACACGAAAAGCTCATAATAGTCCGATCTTTACTGTAAATCCGTCAGCTTTTCGTGTAGAAATCGTGGAACAAGCCTTATTTTGTAGGTTTTGAAGTTTGATGACGAAAAACCAATGCAGACGTTTTTTCTTAGTATAGAGCGAAGCTCTAGAGCAAAGCTCTTTTCCGGTAACACAGGAGCGTAATTGAAAATGTCACCCACAGACTGTTGATTAAAAAAAAATTCAGCCGGAACCGGATACACTGGGCAAAACAGGCAATGCGCATGTCAACTTACCAAATCTCGTCCAAGCGAGATCATGTAACTAACAAAAATAATTCTATCCAGCAAATCTCGCCCAAGCGAGATTACGCGCCTCATAGAACTATTTCTATGACGCGTCTAATCAATGACGTCACATATTTTTTACGTCAATGAAAATAATTCTCACACTTTTTTGTTCTTTTTTTAAAAACAAAATTAATGTATAAAATTTAGATCTCAATAAAAACTAAATTATTTAATATTTTTTGTATCACTTGAGAAAATTAATTATAATTGAAGGTTTTATATTTGACAATAATCAGCTTCGCTCTACTCAGGCAATGCCTGTTACATATTAGGTGTTCAGAGTATCGGACGCCACTATTTGAAAATTTTGCATAAGGGAGACATTCCTCACAATAGCGGCCATGGTGAATTGACGAAATCTCGCGTTGATAAACGAGATGATAGTTTATTTTTAGCGACACTGAGTGACACGCACCGCGTGCTAGGTTTAGGTTTTAGAATTTGGGGGAGAGGTTAAGTCTCCACATAAGCACTGACCTAGGATGATCAAGGGGATAAGGGGCTTCCCTAATTTGCATGACGAATGACAAGCGAATGACGAATGACAAGGAATTTCTAAGCAATAACTGCTCCCTTTAGGCTAATATAATTCAACTACAGTATTGGGTTTAATAACTATAAACTTAATTTGTCTTTTTTGGAGTAATTAATATTTTATTTCGATTGCATGAAACTGATCAGGGCGTGGGGGGTTGAATAAATCAAACTGAAACTAAAACGAGCTTTGCACAAAGCTCCACTTACGTATAGTAGTGGGGATCACGTGGCTAAGTGGGTAAGACACTAGCTCACTAGCCTGGAGGTCGGGTGTTCGACCCCTGCATTGGCCGAGAAAGTTCATCCAGATTTTCCGGCGTGGTTCTCCCTTGTCAGTGATGCAGGACGGAGGGGCTGACAAGGAAGGCTGTCTAGTCGTTCGGATGGGACGAAAAACCGAGGTCCCGTGTACACATTGGCATGCACGTAAAAGATCCCTTGGCAGTTGGAATTCGATATAAGAGTAGGCCGTAGTGCCGCTGTCCGGGCAAAATTTCCCTCATAGCACACTGTATGGCGTATGCCCGTCTTCATTAGCCCAGGTTAGGAGCAGAACAGTAGGACGTTAAACTCCATTTCATTTCATTTTCACGTATTGTAGTATTCAAAAAGTAAACCGCGAGCGATTTCATTTGTCAATTATATGATATATGGTCTCATTCTCTAATGTTTGTGCCCGAACGGAAATACATTGCCCAAAAATGAACGGTTCACCGGACCAATGACAGAGGTTCACCAGACGAATGACAAACAGAATGACAGAGGTTAACCACACGAATGATAAAGTGAATGATAGAGATTCACGAGAGGAATGAAAGAAAATGACAGAGACTCGCCAGACGAATGACAGAGGTACACCAGACGAATGACTGACATATAAAAACGGGAATGACAGAAATCACCAGACGAATGACAGGGAATTACAACGGACTATATACAGAGTGAATGATAATTTGCTAGACGGATGAATGATAAAATAGGTTTACAGGACGAATGACAGTGTGGATAAACAGGTTCACCAGATGAATGACAGAGTGGATAAATAGGTTTACAGGACGAATGACAGAGTGGATAAACAGGTTCACCAGACGAATGACAGAGTGGATAAACAGGTTTACAGGACGAATGACAGAGTGGATAAAGTAGGTTTACAGGACGAATGACAGTGTGGATAAACAGGTTCACCAGACGAATGAATAAGAGGATGTCAGATTCACCAGGCGAATGACAATGTGGGTGGCAAGAAATTCATCGGCTGAATGCCAGAGGTATACCAGAAGTATGACAAAGTGAATGACACAGGTTCACAAGACGAATGACAAAAGTGGGTGGCAAGAAATTCGTCGGCTGAATGCCAGAGGTATACCAGAAGTATGACAAAGTGAGTGACAGAGTATGTATGACATGAGTTCGCCGGCCTAATGTCTGTTTGTCATTCGCGTGGTGAACCTCTGTCATTCTCTTTGTCATTCGTCTGGGTAACCTCTGTTGTTTTGTCTGTCATTCACGTGTTGAACCTGTCATTCCGTTAGTCATTCGTCTGGTGTACCTCTTTCATTTAGTTTGTCATTCATGTAGTGAACCTATGTCATTCGTGTGGTGAACCTGTGGCATTCAGTTCGTCATTCGTCTGGTGAACCTGTCATTCTGTTTGTCATTCGTGTGGTGAACCTCTGTCATTGTGTTTGTCATTCGTGTGGTGAACCTCTGTCATTGTGTTTGTCATTCGTGTAGTGAACCTATGTCATTCTGTCTGTCATTTGTCTGGTGAACCTCTGTCATTCTGTTTGTCATTCGTCTGGTGAAACTCTGTCATTCTGTTTGTCATTCGTGTGGTGAATCTGTCATTTTGTGTGTCATTCGTCTGGTGAATCTGTCATTCGCTTTGTCATTCGTGTGGTGAACCTCTATCATTGTTTGTCATTCGTGTGGTGAACCTATGTCATTCTGTCTGTCATTTGTCTGGTGAACCTCTGTCATTCTGTTTGTCATTCGTCTGGTGAAACTCTGTCATTCTGTTTGTCATTCGTGTGGTGAAACTGTCATTTTGTTTGTCATTCGCGTGTTGAACCTGTCATTCTGTAATCGTTGATTTGTCCCTTAGTTTTTAGTGTCATGTCGCTATAAATCCGTTGGGTTAATAATTATTCAGGAAATGTGGAGAATAACATTATGATCGACTATGATCCTGATCATTTTCATTTTGGTGGCGACTTTAACCATCAGTCATCCAATGAAAACAAGGATGTCGTCAAAAAGGTACTATAGGTTTCCCCGGAAGTGGTATGGTCACTTTTAGGTCAGAAAATGATGTATATTAGATCTGCACATATTGCTACTATCACAAGCAATACAGATCAGCATAATGATATACATGTATAGACCGAACAGAATATGGCAACCTATTAGCCTAGCTGATGGATCCATTAAGCTAGTAATCTATTCGCTGACAATCTATTAATTTTCCATCATACATCTTTATTCTGTAAACAAACTAAAATCTACACTGATTAAAATTGCGAATACATCTTTTTCCTACAAAGATTTTAATGTGTTCATGCTGCCGTAATTTTTTTTTCATGGAGGCCATTATTACACACTAAGCTTTGTGTCTCTGCCGTGGGTAAACAGGAATATCTTCAAAAACTATGGACCCTTTCTCAAATTATGCCAATCTTCTCTGTGTCTGTGACGCTTGCCGAGGACCCACTATGCTGTGTGTAAACGAAAAATTGAGTTCTACACCCCACCCCACCCACCCTAAAATTCATTTGGCCAGTACATGTACATGTAGGTCTAAAACATTTTTAAAAACTATGGACCCTTCTCAAAATTTACCGCTCCTTTCAAAGGTAAATGAAAAGGCACAGTTAAGAGGACATTTGCATGAGGAAGAGAAATAGGATCTAATGTCCACTCGACACAAACTAGGTCATTTTGGGACCAAGTGGGGATTCGAAACGACACCGTTTGACTCGAAGACAGACACTATGATACAATGCCCACGTGTTAACTATTCACACCCTCTCCACACATCTGCACGAAAAACATCTTCTTACTGTCAAATCGAGTTTTAGACGTCTCAGCCAATATGATATTCCTCCGGAATTTAAAGGGACAATAACACTCTTGCTGGCTTGAAAGCTCCAGAAAATAAATAATATCTCTATCTAAGTACTAGATGTTTAAGTGTCCTACCTGTTGTGTAAATTATCCATTACATCCTATTTTACTTGTCCAGAGGGTTCGAAAACATTTTTAAATCGAAGTTTCATTGGAAAAGGTTTATGTTAGACGTTTCAAACCATTATGTTGAATTTTTCAAAATTTTTAAATAAGGTGTGTTAAGATGAAATTTGTATCATCAATTAATTGAAATATTCTAAAATAGTACAATTTGTTGACCAGAATAAAGATTGGGACATATTATTCATATACAACAAGAGTGATATTGAGCCTTTAATGTGGGAAAAATTCATCGTGGCCTAGTGTGAACAGAGTTGAATATTGGCGGGGAAAATTTGGGGTGAACGGAAAATTTGATAACTGATCAGTATAGAAATTGAATGAAATACAATAAATATGATGGCCTCACATCAGTGGGAAAAATATAGTCTGACATTTGCTTGCTTATATTCTAAGCAGCAAAAGAAACATCAGGTTGGTAGTTACTCTGAATAGATGCATTGCATTAAACTTGCCAAATGTTTTTATTGTATATTTCTACAGCTTAACGGTACCAACATTAAGTACTGGCCAGCCCTTAGTCCAGACTTAAACCTGATTGAACATCTTTATGATGAAATTCCGAGGAGATTTCATAACTACGTACCAAGATCAAACACAGCCGATGGATTACGGCAGGCATTTCTGAGAGTGTGGTTCCAGGTGCCAATGGCGTTCATCAATCGTCTGATCCACTCCATGTACAGACGCTGCGCTGCTGTTATTGACACTCGTGGTGGACACACCAGATACTGATGTACATGTATAGACTGTGTACAGACTCTAAACCCTCTCGTAATGTCTTGGAATTGTGATGAATTAATCACTAATGTGTCAACATACTGTTCACATAAAATTGCTTTGATCCATTTAGTAAGGTGTTCTCTAGTAAGGTGTCGTACTGACATTTTTTTGCTGTTTAGTATATTTAGCGGGAAATTCAAAATTGCGATACTACCCTAATTTTGATGGGGAAAATTCTGAAACTTTGTAGTGATCATATGGGGTCCTCGTGGAAACATATGATTCATGGCCAGCTTAGATTACTCGAAAAAGTTGAAACATAATTTCTGGTGTAATTGAAAACAACAGCCCTAACTACACTGTAAATAATTTATCGTTGCCTTATCGTTCCTTGTGTGTTCTTTTGGTGAATGATTTAATACAAACATCACATAAGGGTTGTTTTTTTTTTTTCCTCCAGCATCAGTTTGTGATGCTACATAGCACTACAATCAGAAAATGATTTACTACAAACATCACATTTAAAAGGTTTTTTTTTTCCAGTATGAATTCTCATGTGTGTTGTACATTACTACTCTGAGGAAATGATTTACTACAAACATCACATTTAAAAGGGTTTCCCCAGTATGAATTCGCATGTGTGTTGTACATTACTACTCTGAGTAAATGATTTACAGCAGACATTTAAAAGGGTTTTTTTCCAGTATGAATTCTGACATGTCTCTTAAGATGACCACTGTTTATAAATGATTTACTACAAACATCACATTTATAAGGTTTTTGACCAGTGTGAATTCTCCTGTGTTGCTGCAGACCACTAGGATCAGAAAATGATTTACCACAGAAATCACATGTAAATGGTTTTACGCCTGTATGAGTCCTTGTGTGTTGGTGGAGACCACTAGTATCAGAAAATGTTTTACTACAAACATCACATTTATAAGGTTTATCACCTGTATGAATTCTGATATGTCTCTGTAGATGACTACTGTTAGTAAATGATTTACCACAAACATCACACATAAAGTGTTTTTCTCCACTATGAATTCTAGTATGTCTCTGAAGAAGACTATTGTGAGTAAATGATTTACCACAAACACCACATGTACAGAGATTTTGACCTGTATGAATTCTAAAATGTTTCTGTAGATCACGGCTTCTGGTGTATGACTTATAACAAACATCACATTTAAAAGAAGTTTCTCCAGTATGAATTCGTATGTGTTGCTTTAGACCGCTGCTGTCAATAAATGATTTACTACAAACATCACATGGATAAGGTTTGTCCCCAGTATGAATTCTCATGTGTCTCTGTAGATGACTACTATCAGTAAATGATTTACTACAAACATCACATTTATAAGGTCTCTCACCTGTATGACTTCTCATGTGTGTTTGGAGACAACTACTGGTAGTAAATGATTTACTGCAAACATCACATTTATAAGGTTTTGCACCGGTATGGATTCGGATGTGAACATCACACTTCTTAAACTCTTGTGAATTGTGCTTCTCTTTTTCAGTATTCTGGCTTAAACTTGTCTCTGAATTTTTACCATGTTGTAAAACAGACTCCCCATCGCTAACATGTATTTCACAGTGTTTTTCTAAATCAGATTCTAATTTAAATTCTTCATCACACAAATTACACTGATAAACAGTTTCAATATCTTCAGTTTTCTCTTCTTTAGCATGACAATATTCATCTACGTCATCAGTTTTCTCTGCTTTAACATTAAATTGAACATGACAATATCCATCTACATCATCAGTTTTCTCTTCTTTAACATGGACTTTGTAGTGACTTTCTAAATCATCAAATTGTTGAAAAATCTCATCACATATTGTACACTGATGAAATGTTATAACATCATTAGTTTCCTGTAATATATAAGAAATGAAATACGTATAAAAGCGCATATATGTAACTACATCTCGTATAAATCCATGTATAAAGACCTACCCTTAACAAAGACCTATCTGCGTAAAACACACGGTAGAATAAAAAATCGCACAGTAAATTTAGATTTGACCCCCACGCGTCAGATTAAGCCTGCTAGTCCTCGCTAAGACACTTTTGGAGCAGTTATAACATGCTATCTAGAAATACCGCTTATGACGTCACTCAGATATGACTGAAAAGCACTTATTTTGGTGCCATGCCACGCATTGACTGGTATAAAGCATTTTGATTACATTATTGATGTCGATCTCGGATTTTAAAATTCCATAACTTTGGATCTACTGTCTGAACCGTGGTAAATTATAAACGGATTTCTTCGATTATGAACAAACTACTCTACTTTGTTTATTATAAACTTACCCGTGTGTTTGAAATTACCTCCGGTTATATAAAATCCATTGTACAACTATATATCCAAGCGAATAAAAAAAAGTTCTCTCTCATAAAATTGAACTCATCACAAACTTTGACACCGAGAAATACCAAAATGGAAGCTAATTACGTCACTTATCGGGATAGATCATTTCGTATAAGGGGGTCAAACCAAGGCTTGTCTATCATAACAGTGTTTGGCTCTTTTACGACAATTCAAATTTTGTGTATGAATAAGCTATTGGTCTCAGACCCAGTAATGAGTTTGGGCGTTTACAAACATAATTATTTGGTTAGAGAGTTTGGTGGAATTATTTCTTTTGAACTGCATTTGTTTTACTGACCTTGAATCTCACCCTTGAATATTTTTAATATTTCCCGATGAACTTAAGCAGTCCTGTCAATTAACCTTAGTAATCTGCTGTAGCTGAGGTAAATGCCGATGTATATTACATTTGCCACGGCAAAATTAATAGCCGAGGCCATTGAATCATTGAATGTTGTTTTTTTTTATATAAATACCAAAAACTATTATCAAAAATTAATCATACCGCACATCGGTTTAATTATCAGCAGATAGTTCCATGTCTTTCTATTTCTCTCTGAATATTATTTCCGGTGTGCACAAACTGTTCAGAATTTTATAATCGTGCGTGATCGGTAACACAATTATTTTGTAAATTCCCGGCTTCATTTTGAAATTCACAAGGCAATGTATCCATACGATTATATACAGAGGTGAAATTATGGGGTGATAAACAATATTATATTTACGAAATGAAATGAAATGGGGTTTAACGTCCTACTGTTTTATATTTACGAGTATTCGCATAATCGGTGATATAAAAATTTAGTAGACTGACAATCGTTTCCAGTTGTCTTCAGTTGCTATTTTGTTGCCCAAACTCAAACGGTTGAAAAGGTCGTGCGCTGTTTTGATTACAACACACGTGATTGTCAAAATTTGTCAACCTGTACCCCCTTCAACATATTATGATGGTTTAGCTCATCACGTAACATGTGTAATGTTGTGATGGACACTGTCAAAAATACAAGCAAAAACATTGACTTTTCAAAAGTGAACTTTTGTTTTGGTTGGGATATTTAATTGTGCAGTGGATTTCAAACACATAGGCAAGTTTTTAATAACAATTATCCAGTAGTTTGTTCACAATCGAAGAAATCCGTTTATAATTTACCATGGTTCAGACAGTAATTAGAATATTTTGATGAAATAAAAAAATTCGGGTAGCATTTTATGTATATTTTCACAAAATATTTAAAAACAAATTTTTTCTGTCATTTGAAACTTTGACTTGAAACCCCTAGTGGAAGCCTAAACTGAGGACAAGTTTGCGTGAGGCTGGCTACATCAAGTGATATCGCTGACAACTTACCATTATGCCGTCATCACGGTTGATTGTTGATGTGTACAGGTCGGTCGTCTAGTAAACAATATTAGCCAGTTGATGTTTACAGCTGAGGTCTACAGTTACAAGTTGATTTAACTCCTCAAAACAAGGTCGGTCATCTGTTAATCACGATTAGTCGGTTGGGGTTTAACAATCGAAGTGAGATGGAATAAAGAAAACCGCCTTCCTTCGCTATCCCATGTTCATTTCCGGAACAACATTGAAATAGTTGTATATTGAATGAAGATGCGAATCTATCCCACACGAATAACTCATAATAGTCCGTTCTTTACTATAAATCCGCCTGTCTTGGGGAAGAAATCGTGAAACAAGCTTTATTTTGTAGGTTTTGAAATTAGATGACAAAAAAACAATGTTGACATTTTTTTCTGAGTAGGTCGTCATAGTATGGAATGCCAATATTTGAAGGGTAGCCATTTTGCGACAATATTCCAACTTATTTTTTATTTTCAACTTTTATAATTATCTACATACATGTATCCACTGTAATTTGGCACTGTATCAATATTGACTGGGGTCATGGCTATATTTCAGACTTTATTCCATCACTTCATGAAGATATTTCCAAGATGGTGGCCATTTTTGATGGGAAAATGGGACGATTTTGATTAAGTAGTAGTGTTTGGTGTCAATACATATGTTTTGCAGTTTGGGGGGGGGGGGGCACAGATTCCATTTCTGACATTTACAACCTTAATCCTAGGTCCAATGAGAGGAAACTGGTGGACCCAACGTGTCAAAAATAAGCGTGCCGTATTGAGTACCATGCCAATTTGGCCAACAGAAGTGAGATGGTCTCGGCACAGCACGATTAAATTTTTGTAGTGTAAATGCTAACTGGTCTGCAAACGGTATTCAGTACGGCTGCGCAAAATGAACCTTGACCTCTTTCTCCCGCAAACTTTGACCAAACTAAATCATGTTTTTAACCAGTATATAGGAGAATGTACACTTGTCTTAAACAATTGTTTATTATTTATGAAACTGTCCATTATTTATATGGAAATGAAATGAAATGGGGTTTAACGTCCTACTGTTCTGCTCCTATGCTGGGCTAATGAAGACGGGCATACGCCATACAGTGTGCTATGAGGGAAATTTTGTCCGGGCAGCGGCACTATCGCCTACTCTTATATCGAATTCCAACTGCCAAGGGATCTTTTACGTGCATTCCAATGTATACACGGGACCTCGGTTTTTCGTCTCATCCGAAGGACTAGACAGCTGTCCTTGTCAGGCCCTCAGTTTAACCAATAATAGACACTTATCTGAAAGATGAACATGTATTTTGGGATAATTTATTCTCTGAATAAATTTAATTACAGTACATGAAATTACTTTAAAACTTCATAATTATCGAAATGTCACATTAAAATTTATCTGCGAAGAGTTCCACGTTTGCCGTGCCTGACCCGGTTCCAAAACCAGTTAATGTAGAGTAGAGTAAATTAAATCGGTAAATTCTTGAAATTTATCACGGCCTGGCACCGAACGGCAACCTTATTGCGACCAAGTGTAAATGTTGCTTTTGTCGGGTTGTCAAATTTCAGAATAGTAAGAGACCGCCAAATAAGAGAACAGGGGCCTGTTTCACGATATTTTAACTAAGATAAATCCAAATTTTAGTAATTTGATTGGATAATATTAGATTGATTTTAGTGCTTAGCCAATCACAATTGAAGTATCTACTAAAATTTGGATTTTATCTTTAGTTAAGATTTCGTGAAACAGGGCCCTGAACATTAATTAATGATTCACATTAAAATTGTTAAAGTTATTTTATAGGCTTTCATGAGTGGACAGGTTTAACCACAGGGGCATGCTAAAAATGATCCGTAACTTTGACACCTTCTCAACATGCTCGTTGTTATTGAACAGAGGCATGCTATAAATGATCCGTAACTTTGACACCTTCTCAACATGCTCGTTGTTATTGAACAGAAAACCCACCCCACTTCGCTATAAGATTTCTATTAAAACTCTTCCAGATCCGAGTTAAGTAAAAACAAGTAAAACAAAATTTTGAGCCATAAAAACCAAAACAAAATAGGATCTGTGTTTTAATCAGATTGAAATACACTGTATATGATTTATTGTGGCCTTGCGCTTGCATGTGTTCTTGTGTGGCTCTTCAGGTAAGTTCTTCTGGTGAATGATTTACCACAAAAATCACATTTATATGGTTTTTCACCTGTATGAGTTCTGATATGTGCTAGTAAATTACAATTCTGAGCAAATGATTTACTACAAACATCACATTTATAATGGCTTTCTCCAGTATGAATTTTCCTGTGTTGGTGGAGACCAGTACTATCAGTAAATGATTTACTACAAACATTACATTTATAAGGTTTTTCACCTGTATGATTTCTCATGTGAATTTTTTCACAGTGTTTTTCTAAATCAGTTTCTAAATTAAATTCTTCATCACACAAATTACACTGATAAACAGTTTCAATATCTTCAGTTTTCTCTTCTTTAACATGACAATATTCATCTACATCATCAATTTTCTCTTCTTTAACACGACAATATTCATCTATATCATCAGTTTTCTCTTCTTTAATATGACAATATTCCATGCGGTAGCTATTGGTGCGTTTGGGCGTCACATGTAACTGGAAATGTTTCTTCTGTTAGGTTCTATAGTGACTTTTTTCGTAGTCATTTGCATATTTTAGTATTATGCCCCCAAAATCAAATATCCCCTACTTTTTTTGAATAGTGTATATGGATAGTACCTTTTCAGCATGTCCTTTGTTATGGAACCAACTGTATATCATTCATGCTAGAGATGGAAATTTGATGTATCCACTTGTGTTTGCGTTACTACCAGATCGGAGAAGACAAACCTACTGCCGCCTGTTTGAAAAATTGAAATCAACCTTTAATGCCAGCCACCATTCAAACAGATTTTGAACTACCTGCAATCCAAGCTGCTACTGTCGAATTTGATGTGGGTGTAAAAGGGTGTTTTTTTTTCATTTTTCGCAATGTATTTGGCGTAAAGTTCAAGCTTTAGGACTTGCAGTACAATGCAAAGAAGATGAAGAATTTCGGACTTGGATTAGGAGAGTTGCAGGCTTAGCATTACTACCAGCCCATTTGGTACAGGAAACCTGGATGTCAATAATAGAGGAAACTCCAAACATCACCAACGCCGATGAATTTAATGATTACGTTACTAATACCTGGGTCGATTACGACGCCACATTGTATTTGGGCACATTCTACACATTTACACAATCAACATAAGGCCTGGAAAAATTGTGACAAATTCGATATATGAGACAATGAACATTTTCGTTTGAATACTTACGAGAACCCTGCTCCACACGCGTATCGTTTTTCACTGGCCTAACACCCATGTAGCCGGGGGGGGGGGGGTGCGAGGGGATGTTAAACCCCATTTCTCTCTCTCTCCGATGTACAGCTTGACGTCACAGGTACACACGAATCGATGACGGTTTTGTATTCGTTTTCGTACTGACCCAACCGATCCAAGGAGAATACGAAGATCCCTTGCTCCCACAAGTCCACCCACTCTAGAAGATGTTGTTAAGAGAGAAAACAGGATTTTAAGAAAATTACAGAATATAATATATTGAACTGTACGTAAGGTCAGCGGGGTGATTGACCTCTCGTCTTAACTTATTAATTTAGCCGTATTAACACTATAGATCGTAAAGCACTCGCAAGTTGCGGTGAATAGGTATCCCAATCATTTTGACAACTGACTATATAATACTTTACTGCTTCCATGAGAGTACGATTATAACGTTCAACTTGTCCGTTACATGACGGTCTATAAGGTGTAGTGCGACCCTTATGTATTTGTAGTACTTTGCAAAAGGTGGTGAATAAATTGCTTTCGAAATTTCTCCACTGGTCCGTAAAAACTTGAAACGGACATTCAAAAACGCGAAAAGAATTCGTTCACTGTTGCCTTGGCAGTAACCGCCGTAGTTTGTGGCGGTAACCCACTTTGAAAATTGGTCAACAATCATCAAGATATACTCATTACCCGCCAGCGTAACGGCCCTAAGAAATTTAGGTGCACTCTCTCCATCGGCGAACCCGCATATCTTTTCAATTTATAACGGGCTTTTGCCGGCATATCTTTATTGATATTACACGTACCAGAAGACGCGACATAGGCACGGACATACTCCGTCATGCCATACCAATAAAACTGTTGTTTGATACGAATACCCTGGTGACCTGACGACGGAATATTGTGACATAGTCGACAAATTTCAATCTTTAATTCTTCCGGTACAACCAACCGATTATTTGAAAAATTACTAGGTCGTTTTACGCGAAGAACACCATTATCCAAAAGAAATAAATTACGATTAATCCAGTAATGTTTTACCGCTGGATTTTTTAAGGTTAAATCGTTTTCTTCTGGTTCGATTCCCGAATTCAGCCAAGTCAGAATAATCTCTAAGTCTAGATCATTAAATAGTCACTTAGGGAAATCCCCTCGACTACTACGTTATTATTCTCCACTTCATCAATAGTTACAGCGTTTATCCGGGGGTCGTTCGGGTACCCTGTAACCATTATACTAACGGGGTCATATTCGCTTTCATTTTTGTCTAACAATAAATTGCTTTTTATACGGGACTTGTAGGGTAACGGTAATAAAATAAAACCAAGTACGAACAATCCAAACCATAATGCGTTTCAGCCCCAGTTCTAGCAAGTGACTCGAGGAACGAGGCTAGACATATTGCACCAAACCAAACGGCGTATGTAGACTGGAATAACCAGGCGCTAGAAATTTGCATTCGATTGAGACTGCGGGCTTATTTCGCGGAACATACCTGATTTGAAATTAGAATTAAAAACGGAAACCATTGAATGTATATCAGTTTATATACATTCATATTACAGTAAATAAAATAAAACCAAGTACGAACAATCCAAACCATTAGACAAAATTCAAAGTTCTAAAAAAACGGTATAGGCAAAATAGTGCAATAAGGCAAAATAGTGCAATAAGGCAAAATAGTGTAATCAGCATATGGACTGTTCACCGTGTACAAAATACACGACAAACAGTGGTAACAGGTGTCCGGAAGAGTAAACTTACCCTGCCTGGCGCCACACCCGCCATAGCTGCATCGTCGACATTTGTACAGAATTCTATCCAATTCCTATGAGCTCTTTGACAATAGCAACAGCCGCCACACACTAGATCTGTTAATTGGACGCCTATATTAAAATCGTTGCATGGTTTATCCCTTAATTTCATGCAGCTTAAAGCATCTGGGTTGATAGATAAGATAAGATAAGATGTTTATTGCATCAAAACGTCCATGAAGGGCAGCATGCATACATATACACTTAGACATAGTCATCTACATTCAATAATACATATTACATAGACAACTCAATACATTCATACAAACAATATACTACATGTGCAACTGTACAATCTACAAGATAAACCTGCGGACAAGACAGAAAATAGACATTGCACCAAATAAACAAATATTAAATCAAGTGAATGGAAAGGGAATGTAAATTCGCTTGACGGTGTACGATCGTCAAGAAATATTGACCTAATTGCTCTACCCAGCGGGCGAGTTGTCGAAATTGTCTCGTCAACCGTACAATTGCCAAAAGTTCTTGTCTTTTTGTACAGTAACGACACTGCTCAGGCGGAAGGGAAAAACTGCTATAAGCGATAATTCTTTCTTGGCCGTTTTGTATCTGTGATAATTCGTTAGCCACAACATTGATGCTGGCATCACAGTCTATAATGGAGGTATCATTTTCCGTAGGCAACGCTAGTAAAGGAGTTGCCACAATCAAATGTAGGGCTGATATCTATATATTCTGATAAATGTATATAATCAAGTAGCCGAGACCTGTCTGATATAGACTAAATTGGTTGACAAGTGTGTAAAACTATACAAAAATAAACATTGAACATTTTAATTAAATAACACCTATACTTTATTTATTTTTTTTTTTTAAAGCGATAATTTCATATTTTCTAAGAAAGTCAAAACATAATTATTTCAATGTATTTTGCTCAATAGGTTGTCAACTAACTATTATACGATCATAGGTATTATTCTCCCACTTAAAGATCATTTGACCCCGGAAATAATAACACAATTACCTCCCTTGTTTTTCTATTCCCCCCCCATGGAATAGCTATCTTCAAACGTTGGCATTTGAAGTTGAAAATGATATTTTTGCCAATTTCTCAACTGACAATAGTGAATTATAGGATTAATAGGATTATTCTTTAACAAGGTAGGACTGTTAATAGATACCATCTATTTTAAGGCTTTATTTTAATAAATTTTAAAAATATAACTTAAAAATATGAAATTGCAACTATAAAATAATACACTGTTATTTACGTCAATACTTACAAGCACATGTTATGTACATTTATATCTTAAAAATAAAATAGATTGTTCTGTATAAACGGTTAATCACAAGGGTTCCTACTATACACAGATCTAAGTACATGTATCTATCAATCGGGAATCGGTATGGAGGAAGTCTTAAAAAGACATTTCCATTTATTTATGTATAATTCCGGAGATATCCCAATCTCCAATTTAGCATGATCAAACTCAATCTGTTGTTTATCACCCCTATATCTTTGATAAAGGTTCTGTGATAGTTTGCAAAGCCCAAGAAGGATTTGACTTCTTTAGTACCAGTGGGAACCATCAATTTTTCGACGGTTTTGGTTAAATTATTACCTGCTTTTAGACCATTTTGACTGACCATTCGACCCAGGAATTCGACTTCCTGCTGAAACAATTCGCATTTTTTAGGCTTCAATTCCATGCCATATTGCCGGAATCGATCAAATACCAATCTTAGGTTTGTTAAATGGTCATCTACATTTTTACCCATGACCATCGTATCGTCCAAAAAAGCCAAGACAATTTTCCAACCGAGACCATTAAGAACTAAACGAATACCCTGACATGTGGACTGCTACTGTGTAAATTTATCAACAACGTGCTAATGAATTGTATTCGGAAATGCGAACACACGCTCACAAATGCCACCCTTTACACTTAGATTGCTAAAAACAATTGGATAAAGGAACTAAAAGGAACAATTAACTTTTATTTTGAATATCCTAATTATCTCGGAAGAATAATTTAAATAAATGTAACAATAAATTTAAAAGTTTATCCGTACTACCAATATTGTATTTTCAGCAAACTTGGCTACTGAGTAATGTCTAAAAAGGTAATCCAATTACCGTAATTAATTTCTGTGTCATGTAGTTTTTCCATAGTTAAAAAAACAGGCTGATTAGCAGACGGTAATAATAATAATAATAATAAATTCTTTATTTTCAAAAGGGTGAAAAATTAGGCTTTGCAGCCTGTTTACAATTCTGTCTTTAAATGACAATAGACAAAACAAACATACACATATATTATACATACAAGGAAACTGAATAATGAAAATGTATTCTTTGCATTCCAAATAACATCAAATGCAGAAAACGATAATGGTTTAAATCTATTGTGTGTGAAATAGCTTTATTAAACGTCCGCTTCCACCGAAGTGATATCGCAGACAAGTCAAATCTATTTATATACCAGCGTAGAAATACGGGATCTTTGTTGTGTGGTTTGGTTAGCTTTGGTCTGTTATAGTTCCGTAGTTCCGGCTGTTGAAACTGGGCCCCGTTCAATAGTAGCGTATGTGTTACGGTCAACAGCAAAATTACTACACATCATGATCCCTGCCAATATTAATACAGTATCAAATGAGTTATTCGGGTGGGATAGATTCGCGTCTTATTTCAATATACAACCATCTCCATTTTGTTCCGGAAATGAACTTGGGATAGGGAAGAAAGGCGGTTTTCTTTATGCAATCTCACTTCTCTTCTGTGAATGTTGACATTGTAAACTTCACCACTGGCTAATATTGTTTACCAGACGACTGACGCTCTTTTCAGGAGTTAAATGAACTTGTATCCGTAGAGCTCAGCTGTAAACATCATCAATTGAAGGTCATAACAGCATAATGGTAAGATGTCGCCCATATCACTTGTGTATTTCACTTTCGCACCCACACTAGTTCCACCGAACACAAATTGGCGACCTATTCGACCGATCCATCTGGCAACCTGTTCGTTGGCAACCTATTCAGAATTTTGCCAACAACAGTCGTCCAAACTCATCTATTTTTATCAACCAATAAAATCCAACTTTACGTCTATCAAATGAAAGTAGAAAATATTATTTTTTATCCATTCCTTTAGCTCAGAATAGAGTTGTAATTTCGCATTATCTTACAAAATTGTGGACATCCAACTAAATATTTTCCGAAAGGTAATTAAATAGGGTTTCCAAATATTATTAGTAAAAGGTGGCACAGTCATATTTATAGTGTGCCAAGTTTCCGTATATGTTAATAAGTCACGTGATATCCTACATTTGCATATGCATGTTGATGCTGTGCGAAAGCTGCTATGTAGAAAGCGTGAAGGACAAATGGGATGTGGCAGAGCGCAAATGTAAAATGTAATGAAAGAAATGTAAAATGTAGACACGTCAAAAAAAGCATTTTCCCACAAAACATTTAACACTTAACATTTGACGTTTTACAGTTAACTCTTGCATTAGAGGTATTTTGACTTTATCATTATCGGTATTAGGACTTTGTATATTGTACCTTTTACATATAATCAATGGAAACGACATTGTCGCAGAGCATTTAATATTGGCTGCGATACCCTTCCATATTTATAAGCAGTCTCAACAATCGCCAATCAATTAAATAAAACAAAAGACAACTATCGGCCTCACATAAAATAGAAAAAAACAATGGTTACAAATATATCACATAAATGTTCAACAGTCTTTTGATTATTCATCCGAGTCTGAAACGTCGCCAGACTGAGCCCGAAAAGTCGACAAGTAAGTCTGAACAGCACCATTTGTATTTTTGTGCTTGTGTTAAGTTGGTTAAGTTTATGGGGTTATCAAAATTACTGGTAAATATGCTAATTGCTTGGATCATCTTCATTTGCCATTCGATCTATTTTTACAAAGGCAACTTTCTGGATCTACTCTGTATGAATTTACAAGATTATTAAAGTTACCATTTAACGGTTTTCAACTAAACTACAGCGTGATATGTTGTTATTTCTAATGTATTTTGATATTTCTGTACGATTTCCATGTAACTCTACTTTTCATATGGCCGAGTTTCCTCCTGGATGAGTTAACAAGCTTAGTCACTATGATTGTGTGGACAAATCAACCAATGCCGTGTTAATGACTAAACTAATGTGTTTTGATATTTGAGGACGACTTAACTAGACTTGTCAATATTTCTGTCTATGACAAACCTCAAATTTTAGCACCGAGAAGTAAATTAAAGTAGCCAAGTCCCTAATTCATTATCATCTAAAGTCTTCAACATTGCAAACCCAAATTATTTGTCAATTTAAATCAACATTGATGTTGTGATCTTAACGGGAAAAGATGGGTTTCTGATATGCAATATTTAAACATTTTACCAATGGTACACAAGTCGTTTACCATAATGCGTTTCAGCGCTATTTGTAACGAGGGACTCGAAGAAGGACATATTCCACAAGTCATGTCAAACGGTGACGTCATATTCTTATCTGAAGAGCATGCGCAATAAATACTATCAGTGTAGACTGGAATAACCACACACTAGAGGTTGCCATTCGATTGAGACTTCTGGCGTGTTTCGCCAAACATTACTGACCAGAAATTAGAGTAAAAACAAACGATTGAATGTTAATCAGTTTATATATATTCATTGCGACTCTTTTGTGTCAATTTCTAGGTCACGAACATTAGCGATTTTAGCTCCTTTTAGTGTATAATAACACATATCTTTGATACTGCTAGCATTTTTTGTGATACCGCCACATATTGCTGTTATAACTTTTATATATTACTGGACACTAATGATGTTATAACTTTTATATATTACAGGAAACTTTTATATATTACTGGACACTAATGATGTTATAACTTTTATATATTACAGGAAACTGATGATGTTATAACTTTTATATATTACAGGAAACTAATGATGATATAACTTTTATATATTACAGGAAACTAATGATGTAATAACATTTATATATTACAGGAAACTAATGATGTTATAACTTTTATATATTACAGGAAACTAATGATGTTATAACTTTTATATATTACAGGAAACTGATGATGTTATAACTGTCCATCAATGTGTTGTTTGTGACGAGATTTATAAAGAATATGATGATATAGAAAAACATTCCAAAGTACATATTAAAGAAGAGAAAGTGGATGATGTAGATGAATATTGTCATGTTAAAGAAGAGAAAACAGATGATGTTGATGAATATTGTCATGTTAAAGAAGAAAAAACTGATGATGTAGTTGAATATTATGATGTTCATTTTGAAGAAGAGAAAACTGATGATGTAGATGAATATTGTCATGTTCAAGAAGAGAAAACTGAGATACAAAGCCGAGATGGATCTAAGAAATGTCACATTTGTGGTAAATGCTTTGTTAAAAGTTATTGCTTGCAAATTCATATGAGAATTCATACTGGCGAGAGAACTTGTAAATGTGATGTTTGTGGTAAATCATTTATTCATAGTAATGGTCTACAGCAGCACATGAAAACTCATTCTAAAGAAAACTCTTGTAGTAAATCATCCGTAAAAGAGTGTCAGCTTCAACATTCTGAAGAAACCTCTTGTAGTAAATTATACATAGAAGAGTGTCAGCTTCAACATTCTGAAGAAACGTCTTGTAATAAATCATACGTAGAAGAGTGTCAACTTCAACTTTCTGTAGACAAATCATATCAATGTGAAGTCTGTAGTAAATCATTCACCAGGAACGGTAATCTAAAGACACACATGAAAATTCATACTGGTGACAAGCCATATAAATGTGATGTTTGTAGTAAATCATTTATAAGGAATACTTATCTACAGTCACACATGAGAACACATACAGGAATAAAAGACTTTAATTGTGATGATTGTGGTAAATCATTTGCTCAAAATTCTACTTTACAGAACCACAGGAGAATTCATACCGGTGTAAAACCATATAAATGTGATGTTTGTAGTAAATCATTCACCACTAAAACTAGTCTACACTCACATATTAGACTTCATACCGGAGAAACACCCTATAAATGTGATATTTGTGGTAAATTATTTGGACAAAAACGTCACCTTCAAAGACATATGTTGATTCATACTGAAGAAATATCATATAAATGTGAGGTTTGTTGTAAATCATTCACCATGCATAGCTCTCTGCGATATCACATGAAAATGCATACTGATGAAAAAACCCATGTGTGTCATTTTTGTGGTAAATCATTTATTACAAACAGTAGACTACAGTCACACATGACTATTCACACCGGAGTAAGGCCATGTAAATGTGATGTTTGTGGTAAATCATTTATTTCCAACAGTAGACTACAGTTACACATGCGAAGTCATACTGGCGAAAAACCTTATAGATGTGATGTTTGCAGTAAATCATTTTCTAACCCCAGTCATCTAAAGACACATCTCAGAATTCACACTGGATTAAAACCTTATAAATGTGATGTTTGTGGTAAATCATTTAGAGAGAAGGGTCATTTTCGTGAGCACATGAGAATTCATACTGGCGAGGTTCATACTAGAAATAAACCTTTCAAATGTGATGTTTGTAATAAATCATTTATCAGAAGTAGTTATAAGGCGAGGCATATGACCCTTCATACCGGTGAAAAACCCTATAAATGCGATGTTTGTAATAAATCATTCACTCGGGGTAGTTATAAGAAGATACACATGACGCTTCATACTGGATTAAAGCCATATAAATGTGATGTTTGTGATAAATCATTTACTACGCAATGTGGTCTACAGAAACACATGAGAAGAATGAAAGGGAAAAACCATAATAAATCATTTACAGTGAAGCTAGAACTATTGTCTTCAGCCACACCAGAAATCACATGAGAAGAATGAAAGGGAAAAACCATAATAAATCATTTACAGTGAAGCTAGAACTATTGTCTTCAGCCACACCAGAAATCACATGAGAAGAATGAAAGGGAAAAACCATAGTAAATCAATTACAGTCACACCAGAAATCACATTGTAAATAGTAAAATAAAACCTGTAGAATATCAATGTAGTTACAGTTCGACTCATTTGTGGTATAAGATTCACATTGGCGTGCACGTAAAAGATGCCTTGACAGTTGGAATTCGGTATAAGAGTAGGCTGTAGTGCCGCTGCCTGGGCAAAATTTCCCTCATAGCACACTGTCTTTATTAGCCCAGTTCGAAACAGAACAGTAGGACGTTAAACCCCTTTTAATTTTAGTATAAGATTATGGTACGGGGATCACGTGGCTAAGTGGGTAAGACGCTAGCTCGCTAGCCTGGAGGTCGGGTGTTCTATCCCTGCATTGGCCGAGAAAGTCCATCCAGATTTTCCGGCGTGGTTCTCCCATGTCAGTGATGCAGGGCGGAGGGGCTGACAAGGAAAGCTGTCTAGTCGTTCGGATGGGACGGAAAACCGAGGTCCCGTGTACACATTGGCGTGCACGTAAAAGATCCCTTGGCAGTTGGAATTCGATATAAGAGTAGGCCGTAGTGCCGCTGTCCGGGGAAAATTTCCCTCATAGCACACTGTATAGCGTATGCCCGTCTTCATTAGCCCAGGTTAGGAGCAGAACAGTAGGACGTTAAACTCCATTTCATTTCATTTCAAGATTATGGTACAAATAGTTGTTCGGATAATGTGGAGTTGCTAAGTGGCTAAAATGCTGGCTCGCTAGCCACGGTAGGTAAGATGCTGGCTTGCTAGCCACGGTGGATAAGATGCTGCCTCACTAGCCACGGTGGCTAAGTGGGTAAGATGATGGCTCGCTAGCCAGGGGCTAAGTGGGTAAGACGCTGGCTCGCTAGCCTGGAGGTCGCGTGTTCAATCCCTGCATTGGTCGAGAAAGTTTGTATGGATTCCCATACAGTCTGTCATTGAGTCAACTCCCATGGTTCAGATTCCCCGGTTGTACGTGACAAGGAGTAGGGTCGCCTGTCCAACTTCGTGGGTTTTCTCTGAGTCCTCCAGTTTCCTCCCACTGATAAAGACCCCTACTCACAAGACAATTATTGAAATAAAATTGAACCATGTGTTAGTCCCGAAATGACCTAGTTTATGTCAAGTGGACTTAAACCCCATCTCTCTCTCTCATAACATTTATATATGACAGGAAACTAATGATGTTATAACTTTTATATATTACAGGAAGCTAATGATGTTATAACTTTTATATATCACAATAAACTAATGATGTTATAACATTTATATATTACAGGGAACTAATGATGTTATAACTTTTATATATTACAGGAAGCTAATGATGTTATAACTTTTATATATTACAGGATACTAATGATGTTATAACTTTTATATATTACAGGAAGCTAATGATGTTATAACTTTTATATATTACAGGCAGCTAATGATATTATAACATTTATATATTACAGGATACTAATGATGTTATAACTTTTATATATTACAGGAGACTAATGATGTTATAACTTTTATATATTACAGGAAACTAACGATGTTATAACTTTTATATATTACAGGAAACTAAGGATGTTATAACTTTTATATATTACAGGAAATTAATGATGTTATAACTTTTATATATTACAGGAGACTAATGATGTTATAACTTTTATATATTATAGGAAACTAATGATGTTATAACTTTTATATAGTACAGCAAACTAATGATGTTATAACTTTTATACATTACAGGAAACTAATGATGTTATAACTTTTATATATTATAGGAAACTAATGATGTTATAACTTTTATATATTACAGGAAACTGTAGTCGGTATGCTTTTATTCTATCGTATTACGACATCACATAATTTTGTAGGCATATAACGAGGTGCACATATTTTTTTATTATGTACGAATATGAATATTTTGTTGACACATGATTTTTGTGTGTGGTCTAAAACTGCCTGCTTAAATGTTGATAAGAGTTATTTCCCTTTATTTTTGGTAAAAATATCTGACAAGAAAAATTTGAAATCCCATCACTGGTCTACCTTACTCAGAAAATAGACATTGGTTGCTAGGCTATAATGATGTTATAACTTTTATATATTACAGGATATTGATGATGTTATAACCTTTATATATTACAGGATATTGATGATGTTATAACCTTTATATATTACAGGATATTGATGATGTTATAACCTTAATATATTACAGGATATTGATGATGTTATAACCTTTATATATTACAGGAAACTAATGATGTTATAACTTTTATATATTACAGGATATTGATGATGTTATAACCTTAATATATTGCAGGATACTGATGATGTTATAACTTTTATATATTACAGGAAACTAATGGTGTTATAACTTGCCATCAATGTGTCGTATGTGATGAGATTTTTTCACATTATGATGATTTAGAAAAACATTCCAAAATACATGTTAAAGAAGAGAAAACTGATAATGTAGATGAATATTGCCTTGTCAAAGAAGAGAAAACTGGTGATGCAGACGAATATTGTCATGTTAAAGAAGAGAAAACTGATGATATTGATGAATATTGTCATTTTGAAGAAGAGAAAACTGATGATATTGATGAATATTGTCATGTTAAAGAAGAGAAAACTGATGATGTAGATGAATATTGTCATGTTAAAGAAGAGAAAACTGATGATATTGAAACTGTTTATCAGTGTAATTTGTGTGATGAAGAATTTAATGTAGAAAGTGATTTAGAGAAACACTATGAAATACATGTTAGTCAACAGGGGCAATCAGGAGAACAACCTTATAAATGTAATGTTTGTAGTAAATCATTTACTGAGAATATAAGAAATCCAAATAAGAATTCATTTAGAATACCAAAATGCGAATCATAACACATTGTGTTGTAAGGTGGACACTGCATGCTTTCTTTTAACGTTGGGTTATTTGAGACGCCAGGTAGTCTGAACATCTAAAGATAACACATGTCGAAATATGTGAAATTTTATCCTTTGATCTGTTATATCACTGGCAATCCTGTTATAGTGAAACCAACATGCATGCAAATGACTATACAGTGTATAGTTGAATGTTTTGTTATGAGCATCGCTCGATTGTAAGCAATGTAAGTTTAGTGAAATTGGTGTCGAGAATTGGTGTGGACACTATTCATATTAAAATTGCATTGACATCGTATAAATAAAATATTCGGAAAATAAGCCAAGGCGTATGCAAAAGAAGGAGTTGGACACTATTCATGATAAAATTGCATTGGCATGTTGTTTTTTGTATTAATGTATAAATAAAATATTAAAAATTCATGTTATATCGGTTTTTTAATTTGTGGGATGAAACGACCCGATATAAGTGGGATGAAAGGACCCGTGTAAATTTGGGATGAAACAGCCAGGATGAAACAGCCCGAGATGAACCGGTAGTGGGATGAAACGACCTGCTCCCTGCAAAATGTAGCTGAGTTCGAGTAAAGTCGAGTCCTCACGCTAACTCGTCATCAGTTTAGTCGTCAACAAGGTACTAATGTCCATAAGGTATTAGTGCCTACTTATAATTTTGTAAATAATTTTGTAGAGGAGATAATCCCTGAATGCTGTATTTTGATGTAACTCTTTCAGTATACTTAATATTTAAAATAAAAAGAAGTAGAAAATTTGAATGAATTCAGTTGAAAATAACCTACTCAACCCACAAAAGAAAATATTTACAAAATATGATAAAACTTAAGCAGATGTTGACATAAGAAATGGTTCCACTACTGATGTCTTCCGTCTTGCTCCAGCCACAGTAGTGGATCATTCTTATTTCCATGCAAAATATGATATGTGTTGAAAAATTTGCAACTGAACCTAGTTTTACTTGCTCAAAGAGTCGAATAGTGTATCAATTGCAGCAGTAGATAAGAATTATCACGGCCAGTTTTCCCTTGTTGTCTTTTTGCCTCTTTTTTGGTCTCAGTTGAGGTGTGGTTTCGTGACATTGTTACATGTAATTGCAACTTCCGTCTAGATCTAATTGTCCTTGATGTAGATACCGGTGCTGTTGATTTTGAAGGTTGTGTTGTATTGGTAGCTTCTGGCATAGTTGGTACAGTAGGTGGTGGGGGTTGTCAATACCAGGTCATGAGTCTAATGATTCCACCTGGAAGGTCAGACACAAAAACGGTTAATCTGTTCCGGTTTTAACAGACATCAAATAGACTGCTTTCAATATACCTGTAAAACCAAAATACTAGTAAATAAATAAGGTTTTCCAGAATTCATATAAAAAGAAAAGAAATGGGGTTTAACTTCCTACTGTTCTGCTTCAAACTGGGCTAATGAAGACGGGCATACGCCATACAGTGTGCTATGAGGGAAATTTTGCCTGGGCAGCGGCACTACTGTCTACTCTTATGTAGAATTCCAACTGTCAAGGGATCTTTTATGTGCATGCCAATTTGTACACGGGACCGTGGTTTTTCGTCTCATCCGATCGTCTAGACAACTGTCCTTGTCAGGCCTTCCGTCCTGCACCTCTGACAAGGGGAACCACTGCAGAGATCGAACACCCGATATCCAGGCTAGCGAGCCAGTCTCTTATCCACTTGGCCACCATGACATCTTTTATATATTACAGGAAACTAATGATGTTGTAACTTTTATATATTACAGGAAACTAATGATGTAAATGTTTATCAGTGCAATTTGTGTGATGTAGAATTTAAATTAGAATCTGATTTAGAGAAACACTGTGAAATACATGTTAAAGAAGAGAATTCTGTTTTACAACATGATAAATGTAACATTTGTAATATTTCGTTTAATAAGAATAGTTGTCTAAAAATACACAGGAGAATTCATACAGGTGAAAAACCTTATAAATGTGATGTTTGTAGTAAATCATTTACTCAGAGTAGTACTCTACAAGCACACATGAAAACTCATAAATGTGATGTTTGTAGTAAATCATTTACTGATAGTAGTACTCTACAGAACCACACCAGAACTCATACAGGTGAAAACCATATAAATGTGATGTTTGTAGTAAATCATTTACTGAGAATGGTAATCTACAGAGACACATTAGAACTTATACTGTAGAAAAATGTTGTTAATGTGAAGATTGTGACAAATCATTTACTCTGATTAGTAATCTACAAAGACACGTTAGAACTCCTAATAGTAAATAGTAAAATAAAATCGTGAAGTTTGAACTTTCAAACATTTTAAGATTATGTAGAAATTAATATGGTGTGAGATTTAATGATAAATGCTGTAATCACCTGTGTATAAAATATATCACCCAGTCAGAGTATAAGATTATAAGATACATACTATGTAAGATATACTATTCAAAAAAAGTAGGGGATATTTGATTTTTAAGTGTTATTAAAGTCACCTAATGAAACTGACGAAGAAAGAAATGACAAAATGAAATGAAGTTCACATTCATCGATTTATTCCAAATGATCGTTAGACTAAGTAAGGCACAGACTGACCATTATAAGGGTAAAATGATACCCGGGGTCAAACAGCAAAGTTACCACAGCATCACAACCAAGTCAGTAACGGGTAAATCCTCCTCTGTTTGCCAAACAAGCAATGATCCGACGTGGCATACTCCTAATGAGACGTCTAAGGTCATTTTGGTCCAGATTGTCCCATTCCTGTTGCAACGCAGCAGCAAGTTCTTGAACATTGGCAGGACGTTGTTGACGTTGACGTAACCTCTGTCCAAGCATGTCCCAGACATGCTCGATGAGGGAGAGGTCGGGACTCAGTGCTGGCCAAGGTAATGTGGTGATGTTCTGTTGTTGGAGGTAACCTGTAACGATCCTGGCCCTGTGACATCTTGCGTTGCCATCCTGGAAGATGAAACGGCGGCCATGACGTCGTGCAAACGGCACAACATGGACTGCCAAGATGTTGCCCCGGTAGTACTGGCCTGTAACACGCCCTGCAACAACATGTAAAGCCGTTCTTCCAGCAACAGTGATGCCTCCCCACACCATAACAGAACCACCCCCAAATCGATCATGTCTGATGACGTTAACGTCTTGGAAGCGCTCGTTTCGACGACGCCACACCCTCCTACGTCTGTCCAAAAAATCAACAGTGAACCTTGACTCATCTGAAAACATCACATTGCTCCAGCGTCGATTATCCCAGTGTAGACGACCCCTACACCAACGACGTCTTGCCTGAATGTGATGATCTCTCAAACAAGGGATCACGCGAGGACGTCAGGCGCGAAGGTGACCCCTATGCAGTCGATTACGAATCGTCTGGCCACTCACTCTCACACCAGTGTCTGTTTGAAGACGAGCGCTGATCTGATTTGCTGTGATGACACGATTTCTCAAGGCCAAGGTACGGATAAATCGATCCTGGGCTTGAGTTGTCGCCCTTGGTCGACCTGAGCGTGGTCTGTCCTGTACAGATTGTGTATCACGGTATCTGGACCATAGCCTGCTTATGACAGACTGAGAAACATTCATCGTCCGCGCCACAACCGCCTGTGTTGTGCCGATCTGTAGCATGCCAAGGGCACGTAACCTTTCATTTTGGGTAAGCCGACGCATATCAAAATTTGTTTTCTGGTCACTAAAACAATTAAACTGATGTTTCCACCCTGGAATTCAATGCCACAATGACTGTAACATTCAAAGTCAGAGTCGTGCAAATCTTGGGTTGGACCCCCATGATGATCCCAAGCATCACCTGCATTCCATGCGGTAGCTATTGGTGCGTTTGGGCGTCACATGTAACTGGAAATGTTTCTTCTGTTAGGTTCTATAGTGACTTTTTTCGTAGTCATTTGCATATTTTAGTATTATGCCCCCAAAATCAAATATCCCCTACTTTTTTTGAATAGTATATAAATAAATGCTTGTATAAGTTATTTTGTATTCATTCATTGACTTGAGAGATTTCATGTCCGTTAAAACAGGTGTCAATAAAGTGAGTTAATATGCAAGCTGCATAAAGATAAAATAATGGTCAGAAACTCGATCGTGGATCGTGGATGTGGCTCTATTAATATCTACATGGCTTATCCATATTACATATCAAACCATCCCGGGGAGACTGGAAACAATCCCTGGTCAGATTGCCCCCTCCCCCCCCCCCAAAAAAAAACCCACTGAATTTTTTTATTTACATATTATGCCCACAATATGTCGAGGTGTCAATCATCCATCAGTCATCACCTTGTTGTCCTGGGTAATCTTTTCTTGATTGGTTGCTGTTGATGGCCTTCCATCATCTAGGCTCTCACAACCATGTTTAAATTCCACAGGCATCATCCCCTGAAATGATGACCAAATCGGCATGTATCTGTGTTTGGGTTAGTCCTTTCAGCTGCAGGTACTTGATGACTGTCATATAGCCAGTTTTATACATTTCTGGTGAATTTGGCCTGCACATAAAAGATTCCTTTACAGATGGCGGCGCATGTCATCTGCGAGAGATGGAGGGACAGATCTTACTGTGTGTCACCCGCCCAAAACGTTTACAGTCCACAGATACGGGACCATCGAGAGTAAATTTTGAAAATTTAATTGCCACCAACGTGTTTTCCTGCTAATCTAGACCATGAATACAGCAACTTCAATGTTGTTCAATATAGCCTACTTTAGGTGGCTGACCTGAATCCCAAACAATCAATCAATCAATCATCATGGGATATCGGGCCTCGCCCTATCCGAGACAATTCTGAAAATTTAACTGGAGTAAATCTATTTTTCTGCTATTCCAGCCAATGAGTTAGGCATCTTCAAAGTTTCCAATTGTTTTGCAACCGAAATCCAACTCTATGCTGACCCGAATTTCAATCATCCAATCAGACTGTTGCAGCTGCGTTCACAAATAATAAACGTTGCACGAAAAATGTCGCTCAAATGTCTCTAGTCAGTTCAGTACAAATTCCTTGTATTCAACTAAAAGAAAAGTAAAATTGGTATTTTGTTAGATTTCGTGCACTTTATTTGCCAACTAGATGAAAAGTCAGACTTTATTATTATTATTATTATTACAGCATATTTATAGTGCACCCTTTCATATAACATGTTCAGGGGCACTTTACAAAGTGACAAAGTAAATCATACATAAACAACAAGATTATGGACATAATTAAATAAATGTGTTTTAAGTTGTTTTTTAAAAGAATATAGAGATGTACAACATCTTAAACTAAATGGTAGATTATTCCACAAAACAGGTGCTTGATAACTAAAAGAGCGCTGACCATAAGAGACTAGTTGAACAATTTTGGGCTTTAAAAGTAGTTTATCTGATGTACGTAATGTTCGGACAGATGTATAATGTTCTAAAAGATCTGAGAGGGAAACAGGAGATAAATTATTTAAACATTTAAAAGTAAGTAATAAAATCTTAAAATCAATTCGATATTTAACAGATAACCAGTGTAAATTATATAAAACATGAGTTATGTGGTCACATTTCTTAGCTGCAGTATTCTGTACTTTTTGTAATTTATCTATAAGCTTTAAAGGTAAACCAACTAAAAGTGAATTAAAGTTATCTAATCGAGAAGTGACCAGAGAATTAACAAGTGACTTAGTGGCCTCTACAGTTACACATTTACGTATTTTACCTATATTTCTGATATTAAAATAGCACAATTTACAAATATTATTTAATTGAGCTCCCATAAGCATAAAACTATCAAAGATTGCGCCAATATTACGAGTAGAATAAGATGAAAATATATCACAATTACCAATTACAACAGGGGGGTTATCATGTGCAAATTTACTCAATTGATGCCTGGAGCCTAATAACAAATATTCGGTTTTATCATCATTCAATTTTAGAAAGTTCGTTGACATCCATTTTCTAATTTCACTAATACACTTCTCAAGTTGCAATTTTGATAAATTGAAAGAAGATGGACAATTAGGTGTAAATGAAATATATAATTGAGTATCATCGGCATACAAATGAAAGCTGAGACCATATTTTCTGACAATATCACCTAATGGTGACCTATAGAGGGTAAATAAAATCGGACCAAGAACAGAACCTTGGGGAATCCCAGATGACAAAACAGATTCAGACCACGATTTGCAATTAACTAAAATACACTGTTTTCGACCCACAAGATAGCTTTCTAAAAGATTTAATGCAGAGCCACAAATACTGAATTTAAATTGAAGTCTACGTAGAAGAATGGAAGGGTCTACCGTGTCGAAAGCAGCAGATAAATCTGATAAAATTAAAAATGTACATTTTCTATTATCAATTTCCATTAAAATATCATTTGAAACCCAGGTTAAAGCTGTTTCAGTACTGTGAAATTGTTTATAAGCACTTTGAAATGGTTCATACAAACAGTTATCATCTAGATGGGCCTTTATCTGAGAAGCAATACATTTCTCCAATATTTTAGAAATAAAACTTAAGTTAGAGACAGGCACAAAAGTTTTGGGGGCAGCTGAAGTAGACAGATCAGAAAAGTTAAAAGCTTACAGGTAAGTAAAATATAAATCGACACTGAAAGGTTGTTTAAACAAGCAGGAGACAGTTATTAAATGATAGACATATTTGATCATATTCTGTTTTAAAAATGTCTGCCCAACATTGTGGGTTTCTTCCCGCTGCTAAAAAAAACACTATGCTAGAGCCAATTGGTGAAATAAATTGTTACAATAACATACTGTTAGTCCCAAAATGTCTTAGTTTGTGTTGAGTAGAGATTAAAACCTCATTCCCCCGCCTCTCTGACGTGATCTGTAGATGTTGTTGTGACGAAAATAGCCTAATATGAGTTATTCGTGTGGGATAGATCCGCATCTTCTGTCAATATACAACTACCGCCATATTGTTCCGGAAATGAACCTGAAATGGCGAAGAAAGGCCGTCATCTACGTCATTGGGCGGTTTTGTTTAAGGCTTCACACTTCTCGTCTGTGAAGAAGATAACATCATAATGGTAAGATGTCGACTATGTCACTTGTGTATGCAAAATGTAGCCGGGTTCTAGTTAAGTCGCGTCCTCACGCTATCTGTGAAATATGTACAAAGTTTGTGGACCCTTGACCTTCACAGGTCAATAGCTTAGTCCAATACAAATGAAACCCAATTTACTTAGATCGAAAGATCTTAAATGAGAGGTGCACATTACTATTGTGTCAAGGGTTTTATCCAAGTCCCACTTGGTGTTCTAAGGCGTCCGCAATAATATCAAGTTACCTATTTGAAGTCTTAAAGCATAATCTGAGCTGCAGCTATGGCAAAACAGCAATATATAGGTTAAATCCCGCTGGTAGTACAGGACTCCGTGGAAAGGTGGAAGTAGTCCCTTTTATCCTGGCGGACACCTGTAATATGTAACAGGCATTGCCTGAGTAGAGTGAAGCTGATTATTGTTAAATATAAAACCTTCATTCATAATTAATTTTCTCAAGTGATACAAAAAATATTAAATAATTTAGTTTTTATTGAGATCTAAATTTTATACATTAATTTTGTTTTTTAAAAAAAACCAAAAAAGTGTGAGAATTATTTTCATTGACGTAAAAAATATGTGACGTCATTGATTAGACGCGTCATAGAAATAGTTCTATGAGGCGCATAATCTCGCTTGGGCAAGATTTGGTGGATATAATTATTTTTGTTAGTTACGTGATCTCGCTTGGGCGAGATTTGGTAAGTTGACATGCGCATTGCCTGTTTTGCCCAGTGTATCTGGTTCCGGCTGAATTTGTTTTTAATCAACAGTCTGTGGGTGACATTTTCAATTACGCTCCTGTGTTACCGGAAAAGAGCTTTGCGCGCTGCTTTAGAGCTTCGCTCTATATTATACAGGGCAAAATCACAACATTACTCTTGAACTTCTTGGGTTTTGGCCCCTGGCTTTTACGCAAAATGTGAAAGCTGTAGAAAGTTTGTGTAACTTCTAGAGGCTATAGGTTTTGTCCAGCTTGGATGAGTTTGAATTTGGTGTGAATCAGAGTTCTGCCAATTTATATCAAGAATGAATGAATTGAATTTTTACTGATGGTTAACTTAAAAGCTGTTATACATGAACTACTGTCTGCTCAAGGTGACACTACGACATGAAAATTGCTTGCTTTTTCTTCAATTTTTAATTAAAACAGCTTAAACTTAGTGACATACCTGGAATTGCCATCCCATTATTTTCTTACATCGGAAAACAAATTCAGATCAAACTATATAACCTCTCTCTCTTGAAAAATCGTGGTTTGTTTACATCGTGCTACTGAACTTCCACCATGTTTGACCTAGTTATCTGGAATAGTGGGAGTTTGTTTGGATTTGAGTTGTTTCGGCCTAATTGGATGTTAAGGAATTTGTTTCGGACAAGTAGAATGTAACTTTTAGTTTTACAGGATCCAAGACTACATTTGTTTGTCTAACTGACTTGAATATTTAATTGAACTCGAGGGCTGTAGCATTTTGCTATTGGTATAAGCTAACAACTCAAATCCAAACAAACTCCCACGCCCTCTTCGACTATTCCAGATAACTAGGTCAAATATGGCTGATGTTCAACAGCGCTATGTAAACAAACCACATTTCATTATTGTCGCCCATGGACGTCCGTCCGTTGGTCTGTCGGTCCGGCGTCCACAATTGCTTGTGGACGCTCTAGATAGGCTAAAGTTAATATCCGATTGACTGTAAATGTATACACAGTGTTTAAGGCCATGAGACGAAGAATCCTATTGATTTTCAGCGATTTCCGATAATTACTGCCAGAGTTATGGCCCTTGATCACTTTGAAAAATCTTGTGGACGCTCTAGAGGCTAAAGTTAATATCTGATTGACTTTAAATTTATACACAGTGTTTAAGGTCATGAGACGAAGAAGCCTATTGATTTTAAGCGATTTCCAATAATTACTGCCAGAGTTATGGCCCTTGATCACTTTGAAAAATCTTGTGACGCTCTAGAGGCTCAAGTTATCATCCGATTGACTTCAGATTGGTACACAGAGTTTAAAGTTTTGAGACGAACAAGTATATTGATTTTCAATGAATCTTTATGACTTGAACAGCTAAATCCATGATGTTAAAAGTTTTGTATACTAAACGTTAGCATGGGGCAGAACTTTATAAAAACCAAACAAATTCTAATGGTTTTCTGATAATTACTTAATGAATTGTTACTCTTAATCAGATTTTAATGTATTATAAATGTTTCATTACCGAAAAAAGTAAAAATATGCGACAACTCATGTTGACTGCCCGGACAATATAGCTGCTGTGGGCATAGGTTTCGTTGCCTGGCAACCTATCTTTAATAGATTTATTTCAAATTTGAGTGAATCTATTTGAAGCATCAGGACAATGAAAGTCCTATTGATTTTCCCTGTTCTCTGTCCATCTGTTGCAAAATTAATTGTATTTTGATTTCCTAAAAACATTCATGATGTTCAATTTATTCTTATTAAAATTTGTGAATCTCATCCCTACTTTTATATATTACAATAAATTAATGATGTTCTAACTTTTATATATTACAGGATACTAATGGTGTTATAACGTTTATATATTACAGGAAACTAATGATTTTATAACTTTTATATATTACAGGAAACTAATGATGTTACAACTTTTCATCAGTGTACAATTTGTGATGAACTGTTTCCACAATTTGATGATTTAGAAAACCACTACAAAGTCCATTCCAGGGACGAGAAAACTGATGATGTAGATGAATATTGTCATGTTAAAGAAGAGAAAACGGATGATGCAGATGAATATTGTCATGTTAAAGAAGAGGAAACGGATGATGTAGATGGATATTGTCATGTTAAAGAAGAGAAAACTGATGATATAGATGGATATTGTCATGTTAAAGAAGAGAAAACTGATGATGCAGATGGATATTGTCATGTTAAAGAAGAGGAAACGGATGATGTAGATGGATATTGTCATGTTAAAGAAGAGAAAAAAACTGAAGATGTTGCAACTGTTCATCAGTGTAATTTGTGTGATAAAGAATTTGATTTAGAAACAGATTTAGAAAAACACTGTGAAAAACATGTTAAAGAAGAAGATTCTGTTTTACAACATGATAAAAATTCGGAGACTATCTTTAGCCAGAATAATGAAAAAGAAAAACACAATTCACAAGAGTCTAAGAAATGTGATGTTTGTAATAAATCATTTATTAAAGAACGTTACCTTCAAATTCACATGTTAAAGCATACAGGAGAAACCCCTTATAAATGTGATGTTTGTAGTAAATCATTTCCTAACTGTAGCCGCTTACAGAGACATGTCAGAATTCATACTGGTGATAAACCTTATAAATGTGATGTTTGTAGTAAATCATTTTCTATGAATGGTCATCTACAGAGACATGTCAGAATTCATACTGGTGAAAGGCCTTATAAATGTGATGTTTGTGATAAATCATATACTGATAGCAGTGGTCTGATGCAACACAAGAGGTTTCATACTGGTGAGAGACCTTATAAATGTGATGTTTGTGGTAAATCATACACTCATAGTAGCGGTCTGCAAAGACACATCAGAATTCATACGGGCGAAACACCTTATAAATGTGATGTTTGTAGTAGATCATTTTCTCGAAGTAGTAGTCTTCATATACACATGAGGACTCATTCTAGAGAAACCCATTATAAATGTGATGTTTGTAGTAGATTATTTACTGATAGTACTACTCTACAGTCACACATGAATTATCATACTAAAGAACAACACCTGATGTGTGATGTTTGCAATAAATCATTTACCAACAATAATCATCTGAAGAGACACATCAGAACTCATACGGGTGAAAAACCATATAATTGTGATTTCTGTAGTAAATCATTTTCTGATCCTAGCGGTCTGCAGCAACACAGGAGAATTCACACAGGTGAAAAGCCTTATAAATGTGATGTTTGTAGTAAATCATTTACTAATAGTAGTTGTCGGCAGCAACACAGAAGAATTCATACAGGTGAAAAACCTTACAAATGTGATGTTTGTAGTAAATCATTCACCAGTAGGAATTACCAGAAGAGACACACCAGAACACATGGAAGGTCAAGGCCACAATAAATCATATACAGTGTGTTTCATACATATACAGTGTGTTTCATAAACTGACAACTTTATGGATAACATTCACTAGGTTTATTAACTGCAACGTTTCAATGAGGATACTCTCTTAATTAGTTTATTGTTATCCACTTGTATATAACCTTCTGTAACATGTTTGATTGTATCATTGCTTGATAACGGTGAGAGTGTCCTCATTAAATAAACTGACAACTTTATGGATAACATTCACTAGGTTTATTAACTGCAATGTTTCAATGAGGATACTCTGCACTGTTATCAAGCAATGATATCATTGTCAGTTTATTATATTATCCCGTTCACTAAATGCCTTTCAAAGATAGAGTGTGTTTCATTCTGATTGAAACACAGATCCCATTTCGTTTCATGTTGTATAGTTCAAAATTTTGTTTTACTTGTCTTTACTACACTAGGATCTGGAAGAGTTGTTAAATAACCCGATCCCTTGGCAGTTGGAATTCAATATAAGAGTAGGCCGTAGCGCCGCTGCCCGGGCAAAATTTTCCTCATAGCACACTGTATGGCGTATGCCCGTTTTCATTAGCCCAGTTTAGGAGCAGAACAGTAGGACGTTAAACCCCATTTCATTTCATTTTGTTAAATAACCCGCGTTCTGGTTGATGTGAGGGATTAGCCAATGAAACAGTCTCTTGGAATGTGACTGTGGGTATCCCACTAAAAACATCAACACTGATGTCATAGGGCCAAAAGTCACTTGTATGACCCCTGGCGCCCCCCTCCCCCCCCGCCACAACAACCTGTCAGATCTTCATGTAGTAGAGGCCATGAAAAGTATAAAAAAAAACAACGAAACGAAATATAGATCTGTCATTTAGTCAGATTGAGTGTATTTACGTATGTTTCCATTAGAACCCCATATGATCACTACAAAGTTTCAGAATTTTTCCATCAAAATAGGGGGAGTACCGCCATTTTGAATTTTCCCACTAGAATTGTCGTTTTTGTAAGTTTCACAAGAATATAATAAAATATTTTTTCCGCTGATGTGAGGGCATAATATTTAGAAGTGTAGTTCATTCAATTTGCATACTGATCAGTTATCAAATTTTCACGGCCAAAATTCAGGAGGGATGCCATATTGAGCCGTTGGTGGTTGATGGTGTTGAACGGGTCTGAGAAGTTGAGAAGAACTAAAAGTCCATGGTTGCCATCAGATTTATATGGAAATGAAATGAAATGGTATTTAACGTCCTACTGTTTTGCTCCTAAACTGGGCTAATAAGGACAGGCATACATGTACGCCATACAGTGTGCTATGAACCCTTTTGACCTTTGACCCCGAATATCTCGAAAACGCCCCAACGGCGGACTGATTACCACTCGGCATCGTATTCTACACAAAATTTTACTCTAGAAAAGTTGGGTCTGGTCTTGTGCCCGGTTGTACCTGACAAGGATTAGGGTCGCCTGTCTAACCTTGTGGGTTTTCTCCGGGTCCTCGGGTTTCCTCCCACTGCTAAAGACCCCTACGCGCAAGCAAATTAATGAAATAAAATTGAATCATGTGTTAGTCCCGAAATGACCTAGTTTGTGTCGAGTGGATGTTAAACCCCATCCCTCTCTCTCGCAGCGGCTGTTTCTTCTTCCTCATTTGGTTTTATGTTGGTGGGATTCGTTGATGTGGTATATATCGGTAACAGCCTCGACACAGATAGCCTCGACACAGATATAACCTTCTTTATACTCATTACTTGAACTCATGTCTTTCTGTCCTATTTTTTATCAAATATCTACGAAGTTTCCCCTCAAACATTAGAGAAGATTGGAGTGATAGAAGTTGGGCCTCATCAAACAGAAAATTTATCAGTTTATCAAGCCCCAACTAAAAATGTTTGGCCATTACGACTAACTTTTTTGCCCATTATAACCAAATATATTTTGGCTATTATAACCAAACTGTTTGGCTGTTATGACTAAAGTAGGGCTGTTTTGGCCAAACCTGTTTTTGGCCGTTATGGCATAGGGCCGATATGACCACATCCCTTTTTAAATTCCTGGTTATTAGATTTAAGAAATAAAGGGGCAATGCCCAGGCATAAAAGAGAGAGAGAGAAATGGGGTTTAACGTCCACTCGACACAAACTAGGTCATTTCGGGACTAACACATGGTTTAATTTTATTTCAATAATTCGCTTGCGCGTAGGGGTCTTTAGCAGTGGGAGGAAATAATTTCATTAAATTATTTCATGAATAAATGTATTTATTAAATTATTTTATAAAGAAATGTATTTGTTAAATTATTTTATAAAGAAATGTATTTGTTAAATTAAATTATTTCATAAATAAATGTATTCGTTAAACTATTTCATTAAATAATCAATTATATTCATTTGTACATAAATTTCAGTAAATTAACTATTTATGGCCATATAAGTTACCCGCTAGTTTTAAAAAGGCACTCGTTGTGATGGATCAATCAGTGTATTACCCCCAGGCTTCAAATATCTTAGCGTTTATTTTACAATATATTTTTCTACAATTTCTAAAATCCACACCTTCTTCAACCATTTTCCACTGCATGTCTATCAATTCTCCCTCTTCCTTTAAAATTGGTACTAAAATATAAAAGCTGAGACCCGCTACCATACACCTTGAATTACGACGCCTGTGCCATCCTGAAATACATTAATCTCATATTAAAGAATGTCAACATGTAATAAGAATATTCAATTAAACTACTAATTACTATTGAATGTAAATAATATTGAATGTAAATACTATTGAATTTAAATACTATTGAATGTAAATAATATTGAATGTAAATAATATTGAATGTAAGTAGAATGTAAGTAATTAAATTAACTCACCTTCACAATCATTATTTGTTCGGAAAGCCATCATGAAGATGCTAATGTTATTTAAAGAATAGACAGAGGACTCGAACCAGGTTTATCGGATATACGAAACGAGTTCCCGTAAAGGGTCCGTGTTTGCCATCAGACACAACTTGTCGAAGGCAGCTCGCATGTGGTTGGCGGGTAGAAAAGGTAGCGCCATCAAACTACGGACGTAATTATAGATGGTCTGCCTTTCGTAGTAAGTACCCGCCAAACCAACACCCTGAACCTTCCTCCAAACGCATTCATCCCGGGGAACACTTTTCTGATAGCTGACCAGCAACCTGGTTCAAAGTCCAACATGCCATATTCTACTGCAGATTGATATCTTTCCTTTATATGTAATAGTACCTACAATAACAAAAGATTACAATATGTAAATGTAAATTGTATTTATTTATTAACCCCCCTGTAATATGCATGATATAAGAGATTAAAATATGTATAGATAAATTGTTACCATGTATACTATTTATTTATTTAATAACCCACCTCTTCATAGTCTTCGGACGTCCTTCTTGTCATCAGGACGAAACATAGCGGCACCTGCTTCATACTGTCCCCTTTTTTTCAAAAAACCATGTATGGACCACAACTGGGAAAACGGCTTTTTAACTACTTTAAATGTCCCATCCATGAACCATCTTTTACACGTTTTCAAAAGCTGTGTCTGTGTGGCAAACATTAGATGTCTATGCTCACCGACCATCACCTCGTTTACTAAAAATTCATCCCCGATGAACTCTTTGTTAACCTGAAACATAGAATATGATAAACATAACATAAATAAAATAAGTACATAATATAGTATAATGGGACAGTAAATAAACATAAAATAAATATAAGTACCTCAAACTTAATATCTGTTGGGGATGGTTCTGCCGGCCGATGCTTTTCTCTGTATCTGTTGGCCACCCTTTTCAATAACATGGGATTGGGAACCCGTACATCAGTCGGCTGGTGCGACTCCTTAATTTCATTTTCAGTAATTTGTAGGGCAGGTCTAAAAAGTTGATCCAGTGCAACAGCTTTTACCTAAAATATTAGTTATATCAATTAAAAAATTACTTATATCCACTACGCTATGAAACGACCTGCTTATTTACTCGACAGTATATTGTTAACACACATACCTTTGCTGTCAGTTTGGTAACCTTCATAATCCCGGGATCACAATCATGGATGTGGTTGCCACTTGGTATGAAATCTGTCCCCCGTTGCATGACTGTGGCTGAACATGGTAAGCTTTTGCACTTCCTGGAACAAACCCAGGTTGTAGAAGTAGGTGATGATCTCTGAAATACACAATTAACATGGTTAAAAAGAGTGACAATTGTTGTTTTGTGTTCAGTAGCTAGTTAATTAAATGATATTTACTCAATCAATTATATGAAACTCACCTTTACTGTGAAGGAAAATCCATCGTAGGTCACCAATTTTGCTTTTCCTCTCTTCGTCCCATTCTCAACTATTTCATATGTCACTTCATGATCAGCTATTACTGACCTGTTGAGTTGGTCTTCTGGTAAAGATCTGAAATATTTTTTTAAGTATTTCAGGTAAATAAAAAAATCTTAAATTAACACATTTAATTTACTCACATACCAGCGACCTCTCTGGTTTGGTTGATGCTTCCACGGTCCGTGATGTCGAATGACACCTCAAGCTCGTTTGTTGTCGATTCCTCGCCATTGGTTGCACCATTTGTTGTCAATGCTTCGTCGGTATTGTTAGTTGTTGATAGGACGCTGGAAACATCAAGAGTAAAATCTGGAACCATTGAAGCAGTTGACGTTGAGTTCCAGGGTGTTCCTCTTCTTCGTCGGCATTTGTGGTCGGTGGTATACCAGCTACTTCTCTTGTAACACAATCTTCACACGCGAAATGTAGTTCAATCTTACTTTTCCTAGCAGCAAGACAATCCTTGTTGGAAATACCTAAAAAAAATAAATAAATATATTCCATTTACTATAAATAAATTAAAATTCGATTTACTATCAATAAATTAAAAAAATATATTCGATTTACTATCAATAAATTAAAAAAAATTAATATATATTCGATTTACTATCAATAAATTAAAATTCGATTTACTATCAATAAATTAAAATTCGATTTACTATCAATAAATTAAAAAAAATTAATATATATTCGATTTACTATCAATAAATTAAAAAAAATTAATATATATTCAATTTACTATCAATAAATTAAAATTCGATTTACTATCAATAAATTAAAAAAAAAATAATATATATTCGATTTACTATCAATAAATTAAGAAAAATAAATAAATATATTCGATTTACTATCAATAATATTTAGAGTCAAGTCACCTGTATTGCATGTTCGATGCTGCCAACGATCGCAAATGTCACATGTCACAGCATATTATCGCAAATTAATGGCTACCCTTCAAATGGTGGCGTCCGATACTCTGAACACCTACTAAGAAAAAATGTCTGCATTGGTTTTTCTGCATCAAACTTCAAAACCTACAAAATAATTTAATAAAGCTTGTTCCACGATTTCTACACGAAAAGCCGACGGATTTACAGTAAAGATCGGACTATTAGGAGGTATTCGTGTTGGATAGATTCGCGTCTTCTTTCAATATACAACTATCTCAATGTTGTTCCGGAAATGAACATGGGATAGCGAAGAAAGGAATTTTTCTTTATAATTTATATGCATCTCACTTCCCGTCTGTGGAAGTTGACCTTGTTAAACCCCCACTGACTAAACGTGATTACCAGATGAGTGACCTTGTTTTGAAGGGTTAAATCAATTTGTATCTGTAGACCTCAGCTGTAAACATCAAGTGGCTAATATTGTTTACTAGACGACTGACCTGGTATTTGAAGAGCTCAGCTGTAAACATCAACCATCAACCGTGAAAACACCAGCATAATGGTAAGTTGTCGCCGATTTGTGTATGCAAAATGTAACTGGGTTCCAGTTTCATCCCACTACCAGTACCGGTTCATCTCGGGCTGTTTCATCCCACTTATATCCGGTCGTTTCATCCCACAAATTTAAAAACAGACATTACATGAATTTTTAATATACTCAGCCAAATTAAAAACTTGACACTTGGGATTTTTGGGACTAGATTTTTAATATTTGGTTTAAGGCAACTATTTTAGTGTTATGTTGTGCACAGACAACCTTGACATCAACAGAAAGCAAGAATACGTCTCGCCGAAAGTTCTTGACATTGATAACGTTCGTGATGTCACAGTACCCCCCAAAATGAAATTCACAGACTTGGAGAACAATCGGAATAAAGTGTTTAGTAACGGTTGTGGCCTCCTCTAGCGTCTCGTACTGCCACACAACGTCTTCTCATGGATCTCAGAACATTAGTAAACACTACCCGAGGAAGGCGTCGCCACTGCTCAGCAAGAGCATGTTCATTGAAGGTCCTGCAACGTCACCAAATCGATCAACTTCTCTGACGCATACTTGAGCGTAACGTTCACCTCGTCTGCGGTACACTCGGACCCTGCCATCGGCAAATCTCAAAGTGAATCGAGATTTGTCACTAAAGATAACCGAATTCCACTGTCTTTGAGTAAATCGTATGTGTCTTGTGGCCCACACAAGTCGGTTACGGTGATGAAGAGGTGTCAATATTGGTCCATTATAGGGCCTCCGGGCTCGAAGACCAGCAGCCTGCAAGCGATTTCGAACAGTTTGTGCAGTTAGCCTTCCACCAAACATCTCTCTACTTGTGGAGGTTGCAGTGACAAATCTGTTTCTAAGATGACGTAATTGTATTGCTTGATCTTCCTGGAGTGATGTCACACGTGGCGCTCCCGCCCTTGGGCGGTCGGCAATAGTTCCAGTTTGAAGCACTCTCATTCTAAGATTAATTATTGTCTGGCGTGAACAATTAAAGGCTCTTGCAACAGTGACCACAGACTGACCAGCATAGAGCCTACCTATAGCACGTAGACGTTCTACATTTGAAAGGCGCGGCATTTTCTAACAAAGATGAAAATAACAATTTTAATTTGATTTTCGAGTTCAAGTTACGTGTGCGTGTTCAGTTTAAGCAAACTTGCATCGATTGACCTCACGAGTTTGTGTTTGCACGTGTTTTTCAGGTTTTTCATCTTTATATGCTCAAAAGTCACATGATCCACGTGACTTTACAATTTTATGAAATTAAAGGCTTCTTACTACTTACTGTCGTTAGAAACACTTTAAAATTTATTTGACTTACCAGAAAAAAAAAATTGTTGAAATTCATCAGTGTCAAGTTTTTAATTTGGCTGAGTATATTTTATTTATATATTAATACCAATAACAATATGTCAATGCAATTTTATCATGAATAGTGTCCAACTCCTTTTGCATACGCTTTAGCTGATTTCCCGAATACTTTATTTATACAATATGTCAGTGCAAATTTTAACATGAATAGTGTACATCTCTTACAATCGAGCGATGCTCATAGCAAAACATTCAACTTGTAATGCACTGTACAGTCATTTTTATAGGAGCTTTTACGTGTGATGTACTTCCGGTGTCTTTTTTTAGGCCTTTTTGTTCACGTATCTAAGGAAAACAGGGTTTTTAGTTTTTTCTTTTAATAGAAAATGTATTCTTGAATTCCACTCTTGCCGTAAGATGCGTGTAGCATTCGTAATAAATTAATTTTTTTTTCTCTTTATTGACCATATACTGCGTTGTAGCAGACAATATATTATATATGCCAAGCTCGCACGGTCCAGTTGATCACAGTACGCAAAAGCATAAACAAAGATAGAGTGGCCCACAGCCCCTATTATCTGTACTATATAAACTGACCTGTTTTAACAGCATGTTGTCACATGGATCAAAACTTCTTTTATGAGAAAAGTGCTCTCACGGGCTCGCTCGTGCATTGTAGGCAGCAAACAGTCGCCCAAAATAGACATTCACATGACAATATCCATTCAGTTAATTATCAATGAAGCCATGTAAAAAATTAATTTTTACTCTTTGGACTTTTAGAAATAAGTAGTTACGAACTAGATTAAAATTTTGGCTAAATCTCAGCGATTTAATTTCTAAGTTAGTTGATGGTAACTGACTGCGGAAAGTAAGAATTTGTTTTTCAGAGCAAAATTTGAAACTTTGATGTGACCAAAAAACATAACTCTTTTTGATGAAAAAATCTACCGCTGTAACGCCACTTGGTCGATCAACTTTTCCACATATTAGAAAATCCCATTCAAATGGTTAAATTACACAAATATCAAACTTAGCAATAGTTAAATTGTTAATGAATGATGATTTTAATGGTGAGTCTTATCATATTTGTTAAAATAAGCCCCAAATATAGCTCGTTTATTGGATTTTTAGTTCTATGCATGAACCACTCTAACAAAGATGCATTGCTGTATGAAACCGATTAATATGTTGTGTGTTAATTGTTTTGCAAACAATTTTAATTAAAATTGATAACATCTGTTTGGTTGTAAAATGCCACGAAATAGAGCATAAGAGTAAATAATAGAATGGGTTAGAGTGGTGACGCTGCGGTTCCACGAAAGAATTATTCAAGACAGTATTAAAATTTAAGCACGACCGTAGCACATCTAAAAAAAAAAAAGAGAACAAATAATATCACGCTGTAAAAAATAATTCTGTAAAGAATGCACCGAGTCCAGTTATATATTTGCATTCAACAGTTGTTCTCTGAACCAAATATTGAATTAGAAATTGATAAAATGGACACAAATGTTAGTTCTTCATTCTTGGTTGCGAGAGTGGAGATAAACTGACTGTCAAAAGCTGAGCCAAGTCGATTTATGTTGTTACATAAGAAAAAAAGATTTTAAAAATATTCAGATTCAACTTGATCATCGTTTTATTCTTTCTGTTATTCATATTCCATCAAGGTGAAATTTTATAAAAATGGCCGAAGTTTTACTCCGTGCATCAAACGACTATTTTATCATTGGTTAGGGCCGTCTAAACACGGGGAAATTTACAGTAGCTATTGGCTAACAGCACGCATAAACAATCTTATTTGCATATTGCATACTATTTATAGCTGAAATTATTTTGAAGTCGATAGCTGCAAGAACCAACACAGTACCGTGTTGTTTTGCAGAGTATAGCATGCAGCGCAAAAGCAGACGATATACATCAACCTCGCACGTACTGTCCAGTCGGCAGTTGAATGTAAATAGGATAGATTATTTAAATCTTTTGTGTTAATAGTCCTGTCATTAATAGATAACATCTGTGTGGTCGTAAAATGCGTAATAAACCTGACCAAGTTCTAGTTTGGGCCATGAGCACAGATCAGTCATCCACTTGTTTTCCTCAATTGCATACGGCCATTACGGGTCTGGTAAACTTGCCGTATCTTTTTCTACATCAAAGTTTTTGTAAATATCGTTTCTGGAATCGGTCGGTAAACCATACACGTATGTAGAAATGGCGATCTGTTCCGTTTTATGTAAAACAAGCTTACTGTACGATGGTATTTTCAGAAAAAAACACACAATGGCCTATGGGTTTCAGTCTACGAATAAGGCCAGGGTCTGCGCATGACAGAAAATGACGTCAAAAGGGAAACCCGTGAAAGCTCCTATAACAGGATTCAGGGCTGAAACTAGGGACAAATTTTAGGGAGAAGTGACTTCTCCCTACAGACAGAATAGGGAGACATAGGGAGACTTGAAGGAGAGGTCAAATTTCATGCATTGCTGCATTCTCTGTTCAGTAAGCTTAGGGAGACATTAGTAAATTCAAAGAGAAGTCAGAATGTTAAAAAATAATTTAATACAATCACAAATTAATTATGAAGTAAATATTTCCCTTTGCTTCATTGACTTCCATTTAATTAATGCAGGTTTAAAATCAAAATCCTCATATTCAGGCCCATCTTCAGAGATTCGCATTAAATCAATTAAAACAGAGTCACTTAAGGAATTTCTAAAGTTTGTTTTAAGTCGATTTTGTGTAGAGAATCCTCTTTCACAATCAACAGTTGTAATTGGGATTAAAATAGCACCTTTTTATATTTTAATGAAATTTGGAAGAAGCTGAAAATGGTTTTCAATAATCTTGGCAGCACATTCTTGAAAGCTGGAAGTTGAATAACTACCAAGAACTAATCTTTTGTAAATCATAAATTCAGACTTGCACTCATCTGGATTTAGTATAAAATTATTTTATAATTCTCTATTAATCTATCGATTTCAAGACTTCCATACACACCTAGGTTCGTTTTATTTTTTACAATGTTTAAGGGCAATAGTGGCCCAAAACATACTAAAATAGATTTGTCTGAAAATCTGTCCTGTAGATTGTTTATTATATTTGTGATATATTCTGCAGATATTTTGTAAATTTGATCTCTTTGGTTGGATTAATATTTTACATTTATGTCAGAAAAAGCACCATGTTCATTGTCACATAATCGAAAGCCTTCAAACCCATCTAAATTTTCATTAACATTCTTCTTAACACTACGGAAAGTACTTTCCTCAACTGGTCTAGTGTATTTGGCTTTACCATCAGCAACAATAATAAATTCTTTTAACTTGCTTACAAAAGATCCTTCATTTTCTTTCAAATCTTGTAATGCATCACATAAGCTGTCAACATTACAAGATATTGAACTGAAATCCAGATTTTCTGTTTGAAAAACTTTAGATAATTTAGACAAAAATATTAATATTTTTTGATTTCAGTTCTTCCAAAACTTTTTGGAGCAGTGTGTCTGCATTTGAGTCCAAAATACCAATATTATTAAGGAGTTTGATTGTAACTCCTTTGTCAAAATACTGAATATAAATTAAGTCTTTTTGAATTTGCCTTGTCCGTACTTTCATCCAACAAAATAGAATAGAGGGAGTCTTGAACTTTTTGAATACAATCCTCCAAAATACACTGTGCAATCACACTTT